TGTCATGTTGAAAGACAGGTGGAGGAGAGCACAATGTTTGTGTTGGATTCAAACGTCTGCTGAAATCGTTCCTGTCATTCCTAATTGATGTTGCATCTGTCTTTACATTGGGACTATTGAGGGGAAAGAAAAAAAAATGCTGAAGATCTTATTCAGAGAAATAATTACAGTTATACACTGGTAGATGTAAAATTAAAGTACATGGGGGGAAGGGAGTTACATCCTATAATTCATCAAATTCCTCCGTCCCTGAAAAATAATTAGATGCTGGGCAGCACACAGGCACTGCTGCAGAGGCTACTGTCAGGGGGATAGCAGTGGTCAAAAATAGGCCACTGGTTCTCATTTATTCCGTCCATTTTTGCTCTTCTATTGTGTTTGGAGTATTAGTTTCCAACTATCCAGAGACACAGCACAGAAACAATGGCAGGCTTTATTAAGAGCCAGAGATGTAATCCCCAGGCACGAGTGCAATTGCAGAAGTAAGCTGGAGAGGGGAAAAAGGGAGTTTTACTTATATCTGCCTTTCAGGAATTTCACCCTCCAAAGTCCTTCAGTGTGATGTAGTTACAGGTAGCACTAAATCTGCATTAGTTTGACAAACTTCCTTGAAGGCACTGAAGATTATTAATGGAAGCAGCCTATGAAGAAGATCTTCAATAGGTGCCTCACAACCCAGTTGTATGGCCTGGAGGGTTTTTTTTTTCCTTTTTCTTGCTCCTTTTCCTGATGGTTGTATGGATGTTTAGCTTAATCCATCCCAGCCTGATCAGTAAATTTTAATACAAAGAACCAACTTCTTCTGGTAAAAATTGCAGCTGCTCCGTGAAAATCAGTGACACTGAGGCACCAGACACCCCCCTCTCTGCTCACTCTGCACCAGAGCTGGGCTGTAATACATGATTTATGTTATTGGGATAAAACATTTGTCACTGATGGGTTTCCATCAGCCAGTGCTGTTGCCAGACACTGAGTTGATCCAAGGGCTGGAGCCCCTCTGCTCTGGAGCCAGGTTGGGAGAGCTGGAGAAGAGAAGACTCTGGGAGACCTGAGAGCCCCTTCCAGGGCCTAAAGGGGCTCCAAAGAGAGTTGGAGAAGGACTTTGGACAAGGGATGGAGGGACAGGACACAGGGAATGGCTTCCCACTGCCAGAGGGCAGGGATAGGTGGGATATTGGGAAGAAATTCTTGGCTGGGAGGGTGGAGAGGCCCTGGCACAGGTTGCCCAGAGAAGCTGTGGCTGCCCCTGGATCCCTGGAAGTGTCCAAGGCCAGGTTGGATGAACTTGGAGCAACCTGAGCTAGTGGAAGCTGTCCCTGCCCATGGCAGGGGGGGGAACAAGATGGGCTTTAAGGTCCCATCCAACCCAAACCATCTTGGAATTCTTTTCCTCCCCTACCTCTCTCCCTGCTGCTGTCCTTTATCGAGATACCAGTTACAGTTCCACATGGGGAGATTCCTGCACAACCCACTGGCTTCCCCTGTGGGAAATCTGGGATGGAGTTACACCAGACACTCCCTGTGTCCCAGACAGCAGCTGCTTGGCCACTTGGTGGTAAACTGTCCTGGTAGTAAAGTGTCTCCTGTAAGGAGAAAGGCCTTGGAAGAGCTGTCCCATGTAGCTGTCCCTGAGAACAGGGCAGTTGTGACTGCTCTGGTGGGTTCAGCTCAGCCCAGGTTGTGTTTTCCACAGCACTTCAGGCCCTTAGGGCTGGTTTTCCTTCCCACTGTGTGTGCAGAGCAGGTTGGTGTGGGGGAGTGAAGGCACTGCTGGGGCTGTCAGCTCAATGCCATGTACAGAGCAGGCCAGAGGATAGCAGTGGGAATCCCACTGGAGAGCAGCCAGTGTTTGCAGAAATCCAATACCCCAAATCCACACCGGGACAGGGAGGGTTTGTGGCTGCTGTGTCACAGACTGAGTTAAAGCCACAGTGGGCTCTGCTCTTCCCTGGGCTCTGCCTTACTGCAAGAGTGCAAATCCTTTGCCCACATCCAGTGGATAACTACAATTTTATATAAGTTATGTGAATTTCAGTTAAAGTTCACCTCCAGAACATTGTTTAAGAAGGTCTTGGAAGTGTAATTTTATACCAGTGTCTGCAATTGTGAACCACAGCCTCAGGCTGGAAGATAATTCCCTGGTATCCAGGCAATGGAGTTTATGTATAGAACTGCTTCCTGCAGCTTCAAGGACTTCTTCTTCTGATAGTTGTCTTTCTAATTTCTGTATCATTGCATGTGAAACCAGGATTTTGTTCATAAATTAGGAACCTGTGGTTGTAAGGTGAGATAATACAGAGGTGTGTCAACTTCAGCAGTTTTTGTAGTTCTGGAAATTGAAAACTAATTGCTTATCAGAAATGTTCATCAGCAAGGCCCAAAGTAAATATTGAAGTTTTACATTACAGAAGGTTCCTGCTCCACTGTAAAGTAGCTGGGAGGGATGGACTTCCCCTTCATGCACCCCCAGGGTCGGGAATTGTGAAATTAAGGTGCTTCTTCTAGCACAGTTCCATAAGACATGCATGTCCAGGTGCAGTTTTAACTTCTCATTTACATTTGCAATTCAGTTTGTGGGGGAGCCTCCAAAAAGAAAATCTTCCATGAGAATTACCTTGGAGCAATATAAAGTGATAAAAACTGATTGCAGCCCCATCTTGGTTGTCTTCTGGAGATGTATAAATAAATAAGTGCTGTAATGGGTGTCAGTGGCTTCTAGAAGGTTTCCTTTTCTCCCTTTACATTTCCTTACAACAATCAGCTCCACAATGACTCATTCCCTTCGTTAGGAGTGGGAAGACATCCCTCATTACTCATTACTAAAGGAAGGACTTTGCTGCTGCACGGAACAGCCCTGGCATTTTAATTCAAGTTCCTTCCATGAGAAAGGAGCCAGTGGCATTCTTCCCCAAACTTTGTCAAAAAGAGACAAGAAATAATGCTGTTTAATTGTCCCAGTTTATAAATAGCCCATTCACAGTGACAGAATTGTAATTTTAGTGCTGCAGTCGGGAGGAAAAATACAGATTTTTCTACATTTGTGCCTGAATTTCATTGCTGGGAGCTCATGCTGAGACACTCAAAGCTATAAATGATCATATATGTGTATTTATAAATACAAAATGCATTTATTTATTTACAATTTATTGTCTGACTTTTTAATTACAGAGCACTGTAGATATATTACATAAATGCACACACAAAGCATTTGTTGTTTAAGTAATCCAAGGATATATTTGATTTCAAACTGAGCAGGGAAGACTGTTTAAAATAATTGTTTTTCTTGATTCCACTAATACAAATGTTCCTTGTCTCTTTTTGCACTCCCCTTTTTCAGATTTATTTACTTAGATAGGAAGGAATTGAGCTTGTATTAAGTTTTTACTGTATTTTAATGTGGTTTTTATTAAGCTCTACAGCATGGACCCTGCCTCTTTATAAATAAAGCTATGATCATGTATTACTAGAAACCACATTTCAAACTGTACTTTTGCCAGACTTGGTTAAGATTTTCTAGGAAGGGACATTATAATTGTGTGATTAATCTTCAGAAAAGGGAAATTTTGGCTCTGCAGTATTTCTTACTGTATTAACTTCAGAGATTTATAAAACCAACTTGAAGCTGCACCGTAAGTGTATTTATAATGACTTTTAGCTGATTTAATAATCCTCCAAGTTGGGTGGCTGTACAGATCACAGCCTCCCAACTGCAGTGCATTACCTGTGGCATCCAGATGAAGTTATCAGAGGGGCAGGAAATTACTTGGGATTGTGTTTCTCGGTGGAGATGCACTAATCCAACCCCTGGCCGCGGCGGGGGCTCCGGGACGCTTTTATCCCATTATGCAGCAGGGCCATGTGCATGGATGATAAAGAACATCTTGCTGCTGAAAGCCCAGCTGAGGCGTGTGGGCCCCGCCAGGTCAGCCGGGAGGGGCCCGGTGTGGTGGCGTCGGCAGGAAAATTTTCCAAGCCGGGTCTGTGATTCGTTTTTCCTGGTGTTATCAGTCTCCCCTGCCAGTGCCACTCCCTGCAGCTGGCACTGCTTAATGACCCTCTTAGTTCATGATCCTGCAAATGGTTTTCCATCCAAGGAGCCCTTGATCATGCAAATAGCTCTGCTAATTGCAGGTGCTGGTACTGCCTTCTCCCAGTGGAACATGAGCCTCTCCGACACCAGATCCTTAGATCACGTTTATATATGACATAACGTGGCACAAGGTTGTTTTTTAAAAGCCACCAGTTAAAACAAAATCAGTTGAAACCATACTAGAAGCCTCATGTTAAGTTTGTTGGCCCTGTGCTTTTTTTTTTGGTGTTTCCAAGCTTTGCTTTTCGTGATAATAAATATCAAACAACCACCCTGGGAACGACTGGAGCTGGATTGGCAGGTCTCAGTCTCCATTTAACATGCAGATGATCAGCCTGTGCTCACATATGGCCACTTGCTAGATCAGAACTTAGTTCATTATCACAGAGCTGGCGAGCTCTGGGTGGACGTGGGGTCTGTGCACAAAACCCCAGAGCACACTGCCTTAAGCAAGGAAGGGAACAGAACACAGCACAGAGCTGAATTTACTTGTGTTCAAGAATCCAAACACTTCAACATGTTTTTCAGAGCCCTGATTTTTCTTTTTTAGGTCTTCCAATTCACAACAGGTAAGTAATCAGACTTCAATCAACTGCCTATTTCCAGACCAGTTATTTGAGCTATTTTGTGACTTTAAAGCAATTCCTGACCTTCATCTCTCAGATGACATGCAGAGTTTCTTTAATGGTGCTGAGGACTGAACAGGAGCCCACTAACACCTGCAGAACTCACCTCTCTGGCGTTTTCTTAATTTTCACTTTATTAAGCAGATAAAAGGAGAGCTGTTTCCTTCCCAGGCTCCCTCGTTGGCTCTGTGAGGGGCTGCGAGGCATCAGTCCAGCCAAAAGTTTCTTTGATCAGTGAGCAGAGTAAGCTGTGGGGAACCTAATGTGTGTCTTTATGTCTTTAGGCATCCACTGTGACAACATCTGCACCCAGGGCCGCTGGGGCCCCAACTGCTCCATCTCGTGCAGCTGTGAGAACGGGGGATCCTGCTCCCCAGAGGATGGCACCTGCGACTGCGCCCCGGGATACAGGGGACCCCTGTGCCAGAGAAGTAAGATTTTCCATTCCTGGCAGGAGCAAAGCAGGTGGAAATGCTCCTTTGTGACACCAGTCAGACAAACCCACAGTTTCTGAGCTGCTTTAGCTTCCTAAGGGCAAAGCACAGCCTAAAAAGTGCTGCTGGATCGGGAAGTCAGGACTCCACTGCACGGAGTCGTGCCTTGTGTTTCTTCTTCTGGTCTGCTGCACCTGGAAGTCACAGGTGACCTGGAAGGAGCAACACCTTTCCATACCAAACCTGGCAGGACACGGATCTGCAGTGAAGTCAGGAGACCTACAGGAGACCTTTTAAACAGAGTCAGCTATGGCCCATCACATAATGACAAGTGGATGAGCCTTGGCATCAAAATAACAAGTCTATGTTTTCTTATATGCCAGAAAAAGAAACACAGCAGCCTGAAATAGCTCCTGTCTGATGCTCTGCTGCTCCATATTAAAATGTGCCGAGCAGATAAAACCCCTCTCATTTGCTTTATCTGGGAAGCTGCATTTGCCCCTTAGGGACCCTAATTCACTGATCCAAACTACACACAACCATCTTCCTGTGTAAACAAGAAGTAGATTTGTCTTTTTTTTCTGCAGCAGCTCTTCTTCTTCTTCTTCTTCCTGTAAGACATTCTGCATTCCCAGTTCATACAGGCCCTTTGATTTCACCAGTTACACTCGACACTAGAACACACTCATCTCTAAAAATAATTTGTAGCTGACAGTTTTTATTTAAAGCCATTATAACAATGACCTCTAGCACTGCTGTAGTTAATGGCCTATAAGCATTTCCATTATAAACCCCAATTTCCAGGTGCTTCAGCATATCTATGTAGCTGTAAAACCTCTCTCCAAGGCTAAAATGTGGCGCTCAGAGCTTCGGGGAATTGGGGAAGGAAATGTTTCACGAATTTGAAACCTTAAGAGTGCAAAACTTCCAGAAGTTAATAGTTTCTGACCTTTCTGAGATGAAAAAAAACAGCTTAGTTTTATCAGCTGATGGCACATAGGCTATAAGAGGCAAACCTTGTTCCCAGTTTGCAAGCCCAGTAATCAGGCTACTCCCTGAGGACGTTTCCTAGGGATCTAATGGGGAGAAATTTTCTTCCTGTGAATGCTTCTGCTATTGCCTCGTGTTGCTGAAATGCCTCTGTGAGCACATGGCATGGGAATTCAGCTTGCTTCCATCTCTTCTGTGGGATTCAGGCTCAAGCCTACCTGGTGAGGAGGACACCTCCGTGGGTGAGGGCGGCTTTAGGTTGCTAAGCTTGCTCTCAAAACCATCCACATTTTTCTCTTGGAAATTCATTTAGAAACAGAATTTAGCCTGTGCAGGCAGCACTGAAGATGATACTGAAGATGATTCTCAGCCAACTTGTTCTGTCGGTGTAATCAGGATTACATGAGACACCGGGATGGTTTAGTGCTCTTAAGCCTGCAGAAATGTCTCCAGCAATGATCCAGGGTGTTTTATAGCTGGTATATATATCAACAAACCTGTCAGCTAAGTTCCAGCTGGAAATGTGCAGTGGTGTAAGAGCCTGACACCCTCTGTGAACATACAGACCAAGAGAAAATTCTCATTTGGTGGAAAAATAGAACGGACGTGATAAAGTAACCGCTGAGCCGGAACTGTAGAACAGAGAGTCACAGGAGTAAAAATAAAAACACATAAAGTCATTTTTACAGTCACTTACTGCAATTTAACATTTCTTTGTGTTATCTGTTGCAGTGAATGTTTGGACAGCGGATGGTTTTTCACCCTACATGTGCTTAGAAGCAACAATCTGTGTTTAGAAGAGATACTGAGCTGTAATCTTGGCTCTCTACCCTGTGTACAAATTCTGTAATAATCTCAGGTTTTAGGCAAATTAAGCACACAGTTCATGACAAGTTTCCTCAGCTATCCTGTGTCATTACTGATGCAAATCAGATGATTTTATATGCTGTTACCATAATTACCATCTTTACATTCTGTTCATCACTGATGGCTGCAGCTCCTGCCATGACATGTATAAACTGTCTGCCCCAGGTGAGCACAGGTATCACACCTCATAGGTTTGGAAATCAGCTTTTGGCATAGTTGTTTAGACATAAAATATTGTTTCCTAATACACCTTCTCTGAATTCTCAGCTCGGTTTCCAAAGGAAATGATATTCTGAGTTTCTGTTGTCTCTACATGTGTGTTTCTCTTCCTATCTTTAAAGCTTTGGAATGTGTTATTCTCCATATCTGCAGTAGGCTCTGAGGTCTCAAACATCTTAAACTCCCGTGTTTTGTTGAAGAGTTTATCTGGAGCAGGTTAGAGAGACTCAAATGAATGCCCTGAGAGGGGGAGGCTGCTGAGAACTCCACTGTGTTATTGAATAGCCAGGGACTTACATGAGGTTGGAAGGTGGGAATGTTTGAGCACAGGAGCAGTTTTCCTCAGAGCTTGCCCTTCATTAGACATGGAACAATCCCACAGGATTCATCCTTGCAGCTGTCCACAAAACCGTGTTTTTCTAAATAAAGAAATAATGGTTTGGGATTAAGACAGAGAACTGTCGAGCTCTCAGCAATGAGAAAACTTCAGAAAACCTGTGACAGCTGATTTTGTTTTGTTTCCAGTTTGCCCCCCTGGTTTTTATGGACACCACTGTGGCCAGCCCTGCCCCCAGTGTGTGCACAGCAATGGTCCTTGTCACCACGTGTCGGGACACTGCGACTGCCTGCCTGGATTCTTTGGCCCTCTCTGCAACCAAGGTACTGAGCCCCAAACCCCCAAATTCCACCTCCTTTCCCAAGTGTCTGTGACTTTGCAGCAAGGCCCATCACAAGGTTCCTGCCTTTTTCCCTTGTTTCAGCAGTTTAGATCCAAAGAAATTCTTTACTTCAGAGGGGAAATGCAAATAGGTACTTAGTCACCCTTTTGTAAATATGATGTGCTCCTGGTTTCATAAATCCAGGTCTGCAGTGCTGGATTGAACTGACTATGGAATGAGACACCTGCTGTAAATACATCAGCATCCAATGGGGTCATTTTTCTTTCTGCTCAGCCTCTCCTCCCCTGCATGTTGATGGCACCTTCATGGGATCTTTTGCAGCAGGACCTGTAGGTTCTGGTTAAGGGCAAGGCCAGCTCAGGTGCACAAGGCCAAATACCCAGTTACTGTTTACACCTCATTTGCACTGTGTTGGACCTGGTTGGGAATAGCTGAAGTCATGGACACGAGTGCAGGAGACAGAAAAGTTTGCAATGAGGCAGAGAAAGTGAGTTAATTTTCACAGGTGAAGAGCAGCTTCAGCTCCCCCACATTCCCATCCCCTTTCTGTTCCTTTGGAAGTTACTCCATTTTTAACTGTGTTCGATTTTCAGTTTTATCCTAAAAATACCCACAAAAGCATTCAGTATTCTGCAGTCTCAGTGGTTGCATCCTGCTGGGGGTGTTTCCTGCACAGGTATTTAAAAGAAGTGGCTGCCCTTTGTGAAGTCACCATTCCTGCAAAAATCGAGTGACACTTTTTAATGACCTGCTTGTCAGTAAGTTGTGAATTGCAGGCAGCACTTATGCAAAATCATTAAACATGGAGTAAGTATGTACTGTATTTCCTGTGCTGTATAGTCAACTAAACATTATACCAATTAATTTATTAAAATGAACATATTTCAGTGAATTTGTCCATTTTATGTGAAACGTTAGCCAGATTTCAAAGCATAAGCAGGTCTAATTATCCTCTTAAGAAAACTACTTTATTTTTGCTCAGATGTTCAGCACTTCTGGTTTTACTTTGAAATGTTGATCTATCCAGTAAATTAATTTTAAAATATTCATGTCCTAATTAAAATCAATTTGTGCTGCAGTTTGTCATAATGAGTTAACATGTAACTTTATTTTGTAGAAAGAAAAATGTTAATTAATGTTTTCCATTAAAAAATGTGAAACGAAGATTTCACTTTGGAATTTTCATCTCCTTGTGCCATCTCCTTTCTGGCAGCAGGAACATTCTTCCACTAGCAGCACATGCTTGTGAGGAGCTGTGTAACCCCCCAGAATTGCACAGGATTCTGAGCTACAAATGACTAAACAGCTGTTTTATGAATATCTTTCACAATCATGTAGCAAGATGGATTGATAATAACCTGTTATCGCTGCTGGAACACACCTGACATCCCACAGGGACTTTGGGAGTCCCACTTCAGAGCTTTTAGGGCTAATTAACATCACTATCTGGGTTGTACAATCAGATTGCTCCCGAGGAAAGCAGCACCAGGCCTTGCTTTACAGCTCTGTTTAAAACTGGTTGAGACATTTAAAAAGGGCTTGTGTTTGGATCTCACATCCTCACAAGAGAGCTGACGTGTCAATCCACAGCCAGGTTGTTTCAATTAAGGGGAACAACCATTTGGTCGTCCGTCTGTGTTGACATTCCAGAGGGCATCATCCCATTTCCCAGAGACAGGAGTTGCTCCTGGGGAAGGAACAGCTCTCCCTGTGTGCACCAGAGCAGTGCTTTTGTGAGGTGTGACCTGGTGCCTTTGCCAGCAGCTCTGTTTGGATCACAAATCTCGTCCTGATCCATTAGCATTCCATGTTGCAGTACAAATCAGCTCCTATTCTGAGGAAGTCTTTAGAGAACTACTTTTTTTTGTACCTATAAAAAATCATTGAGGTGATGTTATCTATCTCCATCTTAAAGATGCCGTAAATAGTGCATGGAGCTGCTGGATATGGAGCATTGGAAGTGACTGATGGTGTGGCCTCTGCAAGAGCCTGGGCTGATAGATCATTTCAGTTTTTGCTCTGCCTGTGATTTGAGGGCTTTGCTTTCCTCCTCTCTTTGTGTCTGTGTATTGTTCTTTTCACTGTGGCTGTATATTGGGTTTAGTTTTATCTCTTTCCAGTTAGGAACTGTTCTGTTTAGCACATAATTTGAAAGCCAAACCCAACTTTATCCACTCCTACAGATAAGTCCACAGTATATAGAAATACAGAAAACAATACTCTGCACATTCTTAGCTTTCTGCTGTAGTAAGAGTAGAGGATGGCATATTATATAAAACCCAATGAATCACAGCTCAGGATTTCAATCTGTGGCTGATTCACAGTCAGGATAGATTGAGGTCACCTGCAGAGACTACTTTTGAGAAAGTGAGAGAGGCTGAAGTGGTAAAACAGCTGCATAATTCAGGAAAGTGCCTTAATCACTTTTTTGACATCGCTATTATTTACCAGGATACAAGTCCAGTTCCATTTGTTACACTCTTTGCAAAGATGGACTGTATGTTTTATCTTATTTTGAAAATACATCTGTTTTTGTCAGGGAACACAGCCAATAAGAGCCCAGAAATGAAACATTTCATTCGTTACTGAGCAGAGCTTTCCATCAACTTTAACATTAAAGATTTCCAATAATTTGGTGGGAGGTTGAAGATCTACATGTCTATTAGTTTTCTGTCACTGTGCTTGGGCTCTTAGAGGATGACTCTAGAAAAATAAATTTAGAGTTTCTTTCCTTCCAACTTCAGGACTAAGCCAGGTGGGCACACAGGGATAGGTGCTGATTTTTTTGGATGCAGCACATCTATTTAAGAGCTCTCAGTCAAACATACATATAATCCTTGGGAACCACATTTGCAACTTAATTGCTTCCCCTTTCCAAGTGTCCAGGTCAATCCCTTCCAGCCACTCACTCGTGGTGGCTGCTGCTCATTGAATTCTCCTCAACTTCCCTGTTCTCTTCCTCTGCCAATAACCCCTTTTCTCTCTTTGTCTCTCCTCTTCTCATCCTTCCATACTACCCTTCAATCTTTGGAATCTTCTAACTATATTGGCTTCATTCCCCAGCAGAAAAATGGATTTTGAGATCACTTTTTCCTATTGTTTTTATGATTGGGATGTGAGCAAAAAAAAAAAAAATTAGAACTCCAATACTTTCTGCCTTTTCCTTCTTTCCAGAAGGTCGTTGCCCGTTCGGCTTCATCGAAGAAAAACGTTGTGATTCATTTTATCTCTAATTGCTGAATGTTAAACTGTGACTTCTTCATGTCCATTCTGGAGAGCCCTCAGTAACCTGCCTTGTGTTTCCAGTGTGTCCCAGTGGGAAATACGGGAAGGACTGTGCCGAGGTGTGTCAGTGCACCGAGAACGGGACGTGCAATCCCATCGACGGATCCTGCCAGTGCTTCCCAGGCTGGATAGGCATGGACTGCTCTCAGAGTAAGCAAAGTGTTGTCCTCCCACCTCTGCTTCAAAGTGACATGTTTTTGTGTTTGCTTAGTGTTTTCTGAAAGTTAGACAGGTTCTGGGGAAATCCCTGAGGTTTTACAGCCACTGCCTTACTCTCTTTATGGCTTATTTCTCTTAATTAATCTAAGTTAGCTCTGGATTGAATTAGTTTCTGCATTTGGAGTTTGCAGAAGCAGTGACTGGCTTTTATTCCAGGAAAGGGAGGTCACAAGCTCTTATCAGAAAAGAAAGCTCCATGCTCCCTTTTAATTTCTAGCTGCATTCCCTTTTATTTATTTTTTTGAAATAATTTTCTTTCAGCTGTTACATTTAGAATTTATTAACCAGTAAATGTTTTCATGTACCAACCCCCCAGAATTGAGAAATTAGGCGGCTGAAATATTTCTATTAAATGTAATTTAATTGTAAAAGTCAGCGTGGGCTTGGAGGGATGGAGGATTTCTTCTTGAAAATTGCCCAGGTAGAAGATTGGCATTTGCTGATCCCAAAGTGTCATTTCCTGAGAGCATCCCTTAATTGAAGCTGGATCACAGAGGGAGGCAATATCCGATCATTCAGAAATGTTACTTCATATTCAGGATACAACTAGCATATTAGACAGCATTCCAGAGTAAAATATATTAAACTTCAAGTGATAAAGCAGGAATCGGATAAAAACAGACGGCTGTAATTTTGCTTTTATTGTGTGTCTTCCACAGGCAGAATATTGCTGTCACTCAAAAATGGGGGGAGGGAGAAAAAAAGAGAGCTGCTCAGATTCCTCATTATATTTAGCCATGTAATTGGGAAATGACTGTTAGTTTCTGTTAACCTTGACAAAAGATGGTTTTTCTTGGAGAGCGACCATTGCCAGTCCAGAAGGCAGAAGGACCTGGTTGTAGCTGGTATGAGCCAAGGGGGAACGTGGCTGTCTCCTCGGTCACCTCCTTGTAAAGAGGGTGTAGCTCTCCCAAGGTGATCCTGGCCCACACCAGGCTCCCATGGGCACCTGGCCTCACCTCCTGAGCTATTTCCATCAGACCAATAACCTGGAATGACCCACAGTCGGAGCCGCACAGGAGAGAGTTTTAGCTCCGACTCCAGAGCCAGTTCTGGATTCTCTGACAGACTCTGCAGCTCTGCCTTACAACGGAAAACTGGAGCAGGCTCCCCAGGGCAGCAGTCACAGCACCAAGCCTGTCTGTGAGGCTCCTGGTGGGATTTTGGGGTGTCCTGTGCAGGGCCAGGAGAGGCACTCGATGATCCCGATGGCTCCCTTCCAACTCAGCACATTCTGTGATGCTATTTCTGGGTGCTTATAACACAGATACTTTAGGCCAAGTCCTGGTCAGCTTTACATTGTGTGAGTTCAGTGACCTTTTGTTTGATTAACGTCATGGCAGGTTTTTTTGGCTGCTCATTCTGGCTTAGGGGTGTCTGTCATGTGCCAAAAACTTGCATTTATCGTCTGAGCAGGAGCCACTGGCATCCATGGAAGTAGGCATGGTTTCTGTACTTTCAGGTTTCCTGGGAACTGTGCCTTATTAATTCATGTCTTTAATAGCAAGCCATGGAAAGTGCTTTTTAAAGCAAAAATATAGTTGTTATATTGAAGGGCTATCATCATTTTGGATCTCTTAGTCTGGCACTAATAACTGTAACTTACTGCATTCATTTTTTTGGAGGGAGGCTTAAAATAACTTTTTAAAATATATATTAATATTGTACTTGTTGAAATATAAAATAGACCCGGAGATTTTAATTTAATATTGGTCCCATCAACAAAAGCAATCTGAATTTTTGGATGGGAGTTCATATTGGAAGAAGTTTTCTTTACATTTTTTACGTAATTGGAGCAGCACTCGGTGCCTCAACTGAATGTGGTAATTTTAGTGGTTGATTGCATAGCAAAGTAAACCTGAATAGCTGGGCTTTATTATGCAAGAATTCCAGAATGTCAAGAAGAAAATTAAATTACCTCCATATCTTACAACCCCGAGTCTAAATTGTCTTCACAGATAATGCCAGTAAGGCAGAGGGAGTGCCCAGAGCACACAGGGGGACGTGGTGTCGAGGGTCGCTGGTTCTGTGGTTCTCAGTGCAGAGCTGATCTCTCCACATGACCCACCTGGGGAATCATGGAATCCCAGGAAGGTCTGGCTTGGAAGGGACCTTAAAGCTCATCCAGTCCAGGCAGGGACAGCTTCCACTGTCCCAGGTTGCTCCAAGCCCCATCCAGTCTGGCCTTGGACACTTCCAGGGATCCAGGGGCATCCACACCTTCTGTGGGCAACCTGTGCCAGGGCCTCCCCACCCTCACAGGGAAGAATTCCTTCCAATATCCCATCTAACCCTGCCCTCTGGCAGTGGGAAGCCATTCCCCCTGGTCCTGACACCAAAGGTCCTTGTCCCAAGTCCCTCTCCAGCTCTCCTGGAGCCCCTTTAGGCACTGGAAGGGGCTCTAAGATCTCCCTGGAGTCTTTCCTTCTCCAGGTGAACCCCCCCAGCTCTCACAGCCTGTCCCCATAGCAGAGGGACTCCAACCTTGGAGCGTCTCTGTGGCCTCCTCTGGACTCACTCCAGCAGTTCCACATCCTTCTGATGTTGGGGATCCCAGGGCTGGAGGCAGCTCTGCCCGTGGGGTCTCACCTTTGCAGAGCAGAGGGGCAGAGTCCCCCCTTTGACCTGCTGGGAGAAATCCCTGTGCCAGGGCTTGACAGCAGGGGAGAAGCCACAGGTTGGCTCCAGGGTTTGCAGAGCAATTTCTGGCTGGGAAGAGCCAGTCCCTGGCTGGGAAGAGCCAGTCTCAGTCCGGGAGTCGCTGCAGCTCTGCCGTGTGAGGTTCTGCCCTCGCTGGTGTCTCGCAGGTTCTCCCTTTGTCCTTGCTCCTCCTCAGCACTGACACAGTATCACTGCTCTTTTTTTTTTTGTCAGCCGACAAATGTTTTTTGTTTCCATAGCCTGTCCCAGTGGGTTTTGGGGCCCTGACTGTTTTCATTCCTGCAACTGCCACAACGGAGCACTGTGCAGCCCCTACGATGGAGAGTGTCGATGTACCCACGGCTGGACGGGGCTCTTCTGCACTCAGCGTAAGCCTTTCAGGGACAGGGAATCTGTCAAAGTATGTGCTGCTACCTCGTGTCTCTCCCAAGTATTGCAGCCTTCCCTCGAAATCCACCTGCTTCTTACTCGGGATAACCTCACATCACCCCAAAGAAAACACTCCTGAAGCTTTCCGTGCTTTTTTGTGCCTCTAAAGGAAGGGCAAATAATTTAGATTATTGATTCGTTGTCAAGATTTCCACAGTCGATGTCCCTGCTTGTTAAGGCCCCAGTACATGTGGCCTGATTTAGGATTTCTCTTCCTAGTGCCAAATTACCAGCACTGTACAAGAGGAGATCCAATTCTGCTGAGCCTTTTAAGAGGACCCTTTCACTTGCAAGTAATTGATTGATCTCTGGTCTTTCAGAGAGTTTCTGTTTAGCATCTTCTTTCACCTCTTGAAAATGTGGTTTGTATAGATGGGTCAAGTTTTCATTCCTCTGGAACACTTCAGAGGCAATTCTGTAAGAGATGAGAAACATTACTTCAAGAAAATTGGCTGTCATAGTATTTCTGCATTTAGACCATCAAATAAATGTTATTAAATACACACAGGCTGAAAATCCATAGATTTATAGGCCTACATGTTTTGTGCTGATAACGCATCTGAGTTTGGCTTTCAGCTCATTTCTTAGTCCTTCCTTCTTCTGATTCCTGAAAGGTTGCCCAGCTGCTTTTTATGGAAAGAACTGTGCCAACGTGTGCCAGTGTCAGAACGGAGCTGACTGTGACCACATCACCGGGCAGTGCACGTGCAGGACTGGATTTACAGGCAAACAGTGCGAGCAGAGTAAGTACCAGCGTGACCTCGGGTTTCTGCTTCTCCAGGGAGGGGGGGAGTGTTTCAGAATTCTCTGCACAAATAGGCTCTTAAATGAAGTGTTGATGTCAGCCCCAGGCACCTTATGTAATCCATAGGGAGGAGAAGGTGCCTGTGGAAAACTGCATAAAGAAATACAGTGACTCCTCTGCCAGTTGGGCCTTTTCGTTCCCAGGCTAAAGTTAGGTGAGGGAAAGCAAGTCACTGCACTCAGTGCTGACTGGATGCAGCCTTCCCAAAAAACTTGTACCTAATTAGTAGAAAAATAGCCCAAAAGCTACATCGTGCCTTGCTAATGCTGTTGAGAGCATCAGGTTTCCTTAAGCATGAAGGAAGACAGAAGGGTTAAAAGACATAAATCCTTTCTGCTCTCTGCCTTCCAAGGAATATTGGGGCTTTCCTGCATAAGTTGTTATGCTATAGATGTGGAGCAAGTAAAGATTCATCTTTACAGGGAAAGCAAAGTTGTTTGCCATTTTGGGAAGAATCTGTGTTTAGTTAGAGCAGTGAGCAAGTGTTTAACAATGAACTCCAATTGCCTTCCAAGGGACCTGGCATGTTTTACTGGAATTGTTGTCCATGTCCCACTGGCATATTTAGCAGCCTGTGCCAAATGGCTTCTTTAAAGAACACAGAATGAGGGTAGTGCAGACTGGATGTGCTGTAGCTGAATAATGGCTTGTTTGTCCAGTATAGTAAATCACAAGAAAATTCTCACACACTGATATTCTAAATGCAACATAAAATCCATCTCACCTTACCCAGGCATTAATTCCACAGGGTTCCCTTCCTTTTTTTTGGCAGTAAGGTAATGCAGGAACATTCCTGCTAGATTTGCAAGGGAAAGCTTTAACTGGAACTCACTGCATGGATCTTTATGGAAGTGTTTGTACATGTAACTTAATTCAAAAACATCTTTTTGCACACACTTGCATTCAGCAAAGTGAATATCTCGGGACCAAATGTGTGTGTTCATGGGGGGTTATGTATGGCACCTCTGTAACTCTGGAAGTGGCCGACTTACTGTGAATTTGGGTACAGCCCTACTGCAACCATCATCAAAACAGGAAACTAAAAAGTCCCACAGCAGAACTGCACATTAGCAGATTTTATACAAGAAGCTACTTTTTAATTCGACCTCTGTACAAAGCCTGAGGCTTTCTTTTCTATCCAAAATACAAATGTATTTATTTATCTGTTTTTCTGCTGTTTAATCTAAAAGAATCTCTTCATTAAGGCTCCTTCCTTCTCCAGATCCTGCTGAATGGGCAGTCACACTGCATTGCAGATGAAATGCCTAATTGCAGGCATCATTTCTGTGGTGCAGTCCCAAAATTTAGGCTTTATTCATTACAAGTAGGCTACAGGTTACTGTCAGAATGAGCATTAATTGTAAATTTTTTTTTCCTTATTTGAGGACCAGCAGATTAAAGAAAGAGATACAACTTTAATACACACTGCAAATCATTACACAGATACTGGCTAGAGTTCTTTACTAAATATTAAATTTTGGCTACTAGAAGGTACTTAGAGACTGACACTGGGGAGGTGTCTCATGCTATGCAAAACATTTGCAGGGACACACAGAGAGTCACACATTAAACAAGATATTTTCTATAGTATCATAACAAGTGTGAATGCTTTCAGTAATGCTTCTTCTCCATGGAAATAAGTGGGATGTGACAGACATTGTTTCTTTCAATTTATTATTGAATAGTTCCTCCAGAAGTAAAGTCAGCTGCCTACAGATTTATTGTAATAGCCCATCATGGTAATTGTATAAATAAATTTCTCAGCTGGACATTCAATCATTTTGTCTTTGATAGAAATACAAAGACAGGACAAAAATTCCTTCTGTATCAGGAGTCCTGGTACAGAAGCAGAGCAAATCAAACCATTCAGGTGCTCAATTCTGCAATTCCACCTACAATGTTCTGTTCACCTGCTGGCACTAGTCGGGATGAGTAGGAAAGCACGTGGGATTTGTTTGGTAAAACTCTATTGGGTTCATATAAATGTTCATTAAAACTTTTCTTTGCAACTGCCCCATGAAAAAAAATCAGTAGGGTGGTGGAGAATGATAAGCTCTTTCAAGGTGTTGTCTAAAGCTTCTGAGCTCATGCTCTGCCAAATTCTGAACATTTGTAATGTATATCAAGACTTTTAAATCCTTTGTACCTATTATTGATTTTGTCCTTGGGAATTCTTGTAAGACTTTTTCCAGAAAGTTACAGCTTAATAAGTAATAAATTGTGCATGAAATACATTTATCTTCTGCTTTAAAATAATAATAATCATCTCGCATTAGAGTGTTATCATGGAGACCCTGAAACCAGGCAGACTTTTCTACTGAATTTTCCATTGCACCCATTCCTGAAAACAGCAGGAATTCTTTCCAATGTTTTTCCTTGGCTTCCCAGAGTGCTCACCAGGAACGTTTGGTTATGGTTGCAAACAACTTTGTGAGTGCATGAATAATGCTACATGTGACCATGTCACAGGGACCTGCTACTGCAGCCCAGGCTTCAAAGGAATCCGGTGTGATCAAGGTACAGTGGGATTCTGTCTGTAAAACCCCTCTCTCTTTCTCTCTCTCCCCCTCTCCAGTGATGTACTTGCTTTAAAAAAAAAAACCAACAGTATTTCGAAAATGAAATGCACGATTCAATTTACAGTGTGTTATGAATTACTTTTAACAGCGGCTCTTATGATGGAAGAATTAAACCCCTATACTAAAATTAGCCCTGCTCTTGGATCAGAGAGGCACTCAGTGGGAGCAATCATTGGAATTATTATTCTCCTTCTAATTATTATGGTCTTGCTGGCACTGTTTGTGTGGTATCGACGGAAACAGAAGGAGAAGGGCCATGACATGCCAAGTGTATCTTACACTCCAGCCATGAGGATGACTAATACAGATTACTCACTTTCTGGTAAGGGTCTTTTTATGTTAATCAAATATAGACTTATGTTCCTGTGTGTTGGGGAAATACAAGTTTCTGTGATGTGTAACACGTGTTACTGAGCCACAAAAATAATGACACTTCCGTTCTTCCCCTGAATACCGTGATCTGTAAACACATAAAAGGGACAGGAAAGCAAATATCAACTGATTTAAGCTGCTTTATATGTAGAAGTTTACTTAGCACAATGGAGGATGTACCCAGGCAAGAAATGTGCTGCATGGGCTTTAAATCACCTGCATTCCTTTTGCAGTGCAGGAGTTTTCCCTTTGTGAAACCTTGAGAAGCCTTTTCTTGCTTGAGGAAGGGGATTGACTGGGTCAGTGTTGCAGTTTGTGATTTGAGGTGTCCTGTGTGTTGTCACTCTCTGCTGAGCACAGACCTGTCCCTGTCATCTAAAGAGCTGGTGTGAATTCTCTTCCCAGGAGCTGATGAAAGCAGGAGGGAGGAAGGGGAAGGCTCTTTGGAATCACAGCATTCCTACTTCTTTCTGTCTTCTGCTACTACTGTGGAGTAGCAGTAGCAGAATCTGCTTTTCTTGGCAGACTGGCTAAACTTTGCAGGATCTGATCTCCTTTTTAACACTGTCATTCTTCTTTATTCCTCTCTGGCCAATATCAGAGAGGATGCCAGGCAGGAGACAGATTTACTTCCTTTTGGTTTGCTCTGATCTGTCTCTGGTGGGAGTCTCCTCAGGGTTTGCTGCCCTCTGACTTCTCTTCCCTTTAAATGGCTGAAACTGTAAGTCCAATTGAGTGCAAGCTCCTGAGACAGGCAGAGGTTGGCCCTGCAGCTCTGCTTCCCCAGGCCTGCAGTGCCTTTTTCTTTCTGCTCTCTCCTGTGAGTGCACGAGACCCATTGGCTTCTGTGCTGTCTAAGGGTGACATGGCTGGAAGCTTCCTTCTGGAATTCCCTGCCCAGGATGCACCTGGAAGGAGCCTCTCCCATTGTGCCAATGGTAGCAATGCCTGGCTACACCTTGAAGTTAATCCCAGATCTTCTCTCATGGCACTGTGACCTCAATCCTCATGTCAGGGACACGTTTTCCTGCGATGGCACCTCCTACATCAGGGGCTGCCTGTTGAACACCATTGACCAAACTCACATTTAGACTACTCAGTAGAGCATTCCTTCTTCTGGTAGCTACAAGATGGGGGGAAAAGTCATCCTTGGATTTCCTCCCATTGCTCCTTATGTTTGAATTTTAGCTTTGCTGGCTCTTGCTTAAGCTGCCCCTTTGGGTGAGAAATGAATGAAAGTGTTGACAGAGGGGGCTCATCTAATCCTTGACTAATTGCCAGCACAGCTTGGCCTGAAATTTGTCATTTCAACACTATTTGAGGAGCCAGACCACAAACATGCAAAAGACAACTGTGGCCCATCTCCACAGCACGGAGGCTCTGGGTTCTGAGAGAGCAGATCAGAGACCCTGGCATGGAAAAATGTCCTGAACTTTTCAGTGATCCATTTCTATCACATTGGCACCTTATCCATCTGTGTACAAAGCCTGCTCCACCTCATTTATCTCTGTGCTTCTCTAGTTAATGTGTGTGCAACCCAGCATGTTTGAGAGACACAGCTCAGACACTTCAAAGTAAGGAGAGGAATATTGTTGGGAGTTCCTGAGTGGAATTATTGAGCAGCTCCTTTCAGAACAAAAATCTCTCTTTTTTTTTTTTTTCTCCATATTTTGCTATGAAATGAGACTTCCCAGTGGACCTGATGGTGTCCCAGCCTCAGACACTGCAAGAAGTCTGGAAAAAGGCTAATGCTGGGAAGGGATTCTCTCATCCTGGAAAGTTAACACAGACAGATGACTTTCCTCCTCAGCCATAGAGAGAAAGCCATGATGTTTGAAGATGTTGGTAGCCCAGGACTGTGTTTGTAGGTTATGGCCTCGTGGGCTTTAATTTGCCGTGTAAAACGTTCTTCACGTTCCTCTCAAGTGCAGCCACCTATCCCAGAGCTCCTGATGCCACGTGATACTTAACTCCACGAGGAGAAAAAAATATTTTAGGGATGGCTGAATTCCTGGATACATCATAAACATCTGAGGGATCCCATCCTTCAGCTGCATTGAACCTGGGATCTCTTGTGGTCCCGGGGCAGTGACAGTGAGGTTAATTCTGGCCCTTGTGGCACTGTTGCTCCTTGTCAGCCCAGTTTGTGAAAACCCTCAAGTACCAGTTCCTCACAATCCCAAACAGCTCCAGGTCAGTGGTGTTGCCTGGGCTTCTCTAGGAAGAAATTGGATAATGGTTCTTCCCTGTCCATCTCAGTCAGTGATGGAGATGCAGAGATTGGGTCTTTGCTCTCTCCTTTCTTCGTGCAGTCCTCATAGCAATAGATATTTTATCACTCAGGAAGCTGCAGTGGAGTGGGGTCAACCATCTCTTTCTGGAGGTCACAAGAATGATTTTCTTTCTTCTCCCCCTTGGAAAACTCTCCCATCTGAGCTTGCAGAGGAAGGTTAGGAAGTTAGAAACACACTGCTCCATCTTCATCCCATTATAAATTGCCTGCAGGTATCAGCATTGTTTCAAGTTGTGGCTTTTGTTTTAGAAGGCCATTTACAAATTCTAGACAAAGGCTTCTGAAAACTCCCTGCCAAATTCTGACTGTCCTCCAGTACATTCTCTCACTGAGAGACTTTGTACCCATCAGTAATTACCATCCCAGCTTGGGCCTTGCCAGTGCTGCTTCACCTCCACAGAGCAGAGGCAGGAAAAGGTGCTGGTGTGCACCTTCCTCAGCAGGAAATGGGGAGGTGGATAGTGAGACAAGATCAGAGATAAGGAATATCAGGATGGCAGGACCAGACTTGTGTATCTGAGTACAAGTGTGCAGGTGTGTGTTGCAGAGGATCTGAAGGACAGAAGCAGTGTTGCACAGAGGAAACAGGGATCCCAACCCTCACCTGGAGGTTTGTATATGGATTAAGGGCAGAATAATATGCAGATGTACTTGTCCAATGAATATAATCCCATGTAAACTCATGTACTTTGGCAGGAATTCCACCTGGATGGCTGCAGTCTCCAGCTCTCTGTGGGTTGTAACATTATGGCTCTCCTGAATCACCAGTTATTATTTTGCCTGTTTGCTCTCATTTGGGTAATGGTGGTGTTGTTTCAGAACAGAGTCACACACACAGATCCCAAGCTCCTGGAGGCAGCAATTTCTTCCAGCACATTAATTTGTTTCTGGAGGATGTTTTTGGTCTTTGTGTCCTCAGCTCTCCCAAGGCTGATAATCCCTGCATATGTGTGAGAGAGATTATAAGGCAGGGAAACCCCCTGGGCAGCCCTTGGACCCTTTTGCATTTGTGGATGAAGGATGTGGCAGCAAAACACACACTCTGCCCAGCAGCAAGAGGAAAAGAAAACCATCCATGCTGGGAGAGCTTATCCACAACACTTGGATCTGAGAGCAGACTTTCCCAAATAAGCCTGAAATCAAAATGGTGCTCCCCAGCATGAAAACAGATTTTGAAGTGCAGGTTGTTTTGTTCAAGGAGATGGGGACAGAAAGGAAAACTGTGTGGCAGTGCTGGAGAACAGCAGAGATTTCCTATCAGGACTTTCACACAGACTTGGGTATGGGCTGAAGTGATGTCTGAGGTCTTACCAAGGCCTTGACAAACTTTCTGGGAGGGGCGAATCCTGTGCTGAGAGCCGAGAGCTAAGCAAAGCCTGATAAAAATAAAGCACCGTGGATCCTGAAGCCCAGACAAGACACTTCCAGAAATGATCTGCAGTTGATGTGTGGTGGGAGGTGGCAGAGTGAACCCTCCTGCTTGGAGCCTTCAGCCGCCTCAGTGACACTGTGTGGGCAGAGAGGACCCACACAGAAAGCAGAAAGTGGCTCCATTTAGCAGTTGAGAAGTCTGGGTTGGTACTGACTGCAGTGCTCACTTAGTCCCTTTTTTCGTGCCCAGTTTTCACACCACTGTCCTGCAGCTGCTCCAGGGTGGGGACTGATGCTCCCTGGGCTCAGTCCATCAGGTGATAAACCTTCATCCAGACCTCTCGGGTCTTCCTCTGGAGCAGCCTCAGGCTTGAGGGGCTCACAGCAGGACTCTGCCATCATGTGTCCCTTCACAGGTCTGATCTCCCCATGGTGACATTAACAGCACCTCGGCGCTATTTTTGTTTTGTTTTAATTTAAATAATTTCCTTTCTTTTAGGCATTTAAGTCTTTCATTCCTGTTCAGAGCAGAATAGAATTCTCCCCTTTGGGAAGAGCAGGGGGGTTTTTTTGTGGGTTGTGGGGTTTCTTGCTGTTTTGTTTGTTTTTTTTAAGCAGGGACAGCATTAGATTTGAATTTGATTGAATATTTCCAGCCAGCAGTTACAAGAGCTTCAGGAATAAATGTGTAGAAAATGGACTGTGCTATGAAGGTAAATCAGCCTGGGTGGGTACTTAAGTATCGACCAAATGGAACTGTGTAGAATGAGGAATTCTGAGTACAGGGTGGGGATAAAAGGGCTGTGGTGATGTGTATGAGCTCAGGGTCATTAATTCAGCACTGTGCTAAGTAGTAGGGCAGTCTGGGAGAGCTTTATTCCAGCTCCTTTTGGGCGCAGAAAACAAGCTATGGCCAGATAAGCTGGGGGTGAACTTGTAAGGTGTCAGGTGGTCCCTGCCCTCAGCTGAGTGATAAGGGAAGGGGAAGGCAGAGCTGGTGTGACTCACCCATCAACACTCACCCACAGAGCAGACAGACCCAGAGCCAAGTGTCCATCTTTAGCTGGGAGCACAGGTTGTGAGGAGGGTGAGGAGCTGCCTCGTGCCAAGCCCCCCTGAGCAGGCTCAGGGCTGTGTGTGAGCAGCTCTGTCTGTGTTTGTGGGGGGTTCCAGCCCCAGTTCTCACTGGCAGGCCCCAAGAGGTAGGTGTTTTATGTTGATTTTATTGCAAATGTCACAGAGTTAGAGCTGGGGAGGTGGCAGAGCCCTGGCTGCAAGAAGTTCAATGCAAAGACTTCAGCTCTGGAATCACATCCTGATCTACTTCATTAGCAACAACCCCGGAAAACAACTAGGACTCAAAGGCTCTGCTCTTACAAAACAGGGCTGCCCTGGAAAATTCCTATGCACGTTTCAGCAGAAAAGAAGTGCTTGGTCAGAGCTGCACGAGCAGCTTCCCCTCAGCCACAGCACTTACGTAAGAGACACCCTGCAGATAGAGGCCCTTCCTTGAAACAGGATACGCTGCAGTAAATTAAGCTAAATCTAGATCTCCACAAGATGTCAGCAAAGCAAAGTGCATGTTCAGAGCGAGGCAAAGGCAGAGGGCAAGGGGAGAGGGGTGGTGGTGGCTGGGAACCCCCTCAGTGCCAGCCGGGGCCGTGCCCTCCCTCACCCACCGCTGCCAACCTTCCCTAAAGGTGTGGGGGGGTTCAAACAGCCACCCCAGCACTTCATTACCCTTCCCACATGAAGCTGTTCCCTATAACCGACCTCTCTGCCTACAGTTTAAGCCTGGGGTTTATTAAAACCCATTCATTTGCTTTTTACAGGGCTTTGTTGTTTAAATGCTGCTGCTTCGGTTTGAATTCTCCATCCGTTCTTCTGATGGTACTTTGAAATATTTATCAATTTGTTATGCAGCTGGAACCAGATTGGGATTGATGTTTTCATTAGAACTGCCAGTATAAATATGATGCCTTTCTTGGTAAATGTGTTTATAAGTTAAAGCGAGGAAATAGATAAAATGTCTCTGAAGATAACAATGTAACTGCCCAGGTTTGCCTTTCAGGGCTCCAGATTTCTGTTTTAATAAGCCTTTATACAAAATGTAAAATGTTTGGGACTTCTTGGTATGGTTGTAGCACCTTGATTTCCAACTTTACTGCTGGTTTGGTAACAAAAGGTTTAATTTTTTTTCATAATTACTTCTGCTCAGTAGCTCTTAAAAGTTTTAAACTAAGGAAGCAGCTGTGTTGCAGCCCATGCATTTCCCAAGTTTTGCATTCCCTCCCTCAACCTGCAAAGCAGCTGGACTGTCAGGAATGGCTTTTTTAACATCTTCAAAAAGATAATGCTGCATTAATTAACTATCTTGCTTTTTTCTCCTATGTGTAATGCTGATAGTCAAGAGCTTCACACCACAATTCAGGATAGATTGTATCTGCAGATGTTTTACAACACCCAGAACTCTAACCAAGGTTTCTAAACTAGATTGTCTCTGCCATGTTTTCAGTTTCTTAAGGACTGTTGTGGCTTCCAAAGTACTTTGTGATGACTTGTTTTCTCCCCAGATGTATCTCAAGGTAGCGGCAGTGTACACTGCTTTTCCAATCCCAGCTACCACACTCTCTCATGTGGTGTGACCTCACGCTTCTTTCCCAGTAATCTGGATGGAAACAGCTCCAGTAAGGTAGATATTACCCCACCCCACTGCAGCAATGTTCTTATCAGTTCAAGGAAATCAACCCAAGCACTGTCTGTTGGATCCTGCTGTCTGCCAGCTTGATTTAGAACTCCAGGGAAAGGTCAGCTTTCCCCTCCCAGTATCTTTCCAGTCTCTGGGAATGGTAACTGGAGTCTCACATGCCTGTCTGGGTCAGCAGGGCTGGGTGTCTTAGCAACTCTGAGGTATTTTGGTTTCTCAGAAGAGATAAATAACCAGATAAATATAATTATCCATTAAAGGAACACAAGTAAATCAATGAAGCATTAGGTCACTAATCTCACTTGGCTATCCCATTGTTTCCCAGGCCAGCAGACACACAAATTCCCTGCTGACACAGACAAGCAGATAGATGCAAGAATGTACCTGGGGTGCTTCTCAGCACTGTTCTGACTTACCCAGGGACATTCTGGGAGCTCTGCTGTCACTCCTGGCTCTCCAGAAGAGCTGTTCCCACTGCATTGCTCAGACATCCAGGAGTACCTTCCTTATCACATGTTGCTATTGATTCCCTCAGATCATTCGTGGACAAATCCCCACTTTGGCAGTAGATTTAGGTGTGGTAAATGGTAAAACAGCTCTTCCTTTGGAGCCTTAATAAGCCAAGGTGGGACAAAGCACAGGGAGAAAAAGGAAATGCAATTGATTTCATCAAGGTTGTCAGCTTTAAAAATGATGGTACTTGCAGGCTGTGTCACCTTAATCCAAATGTAACTACTCACTGGAAAGCCACAGGAACAAGATTAATGCCAAAAAGACAGTATTGTATGAGACAGGCAAAAATATCTCTACATGTGCTTCTGGAAGTCATTTCTTGGTTATTAAAAGAAAATCTCATTAAAATATAATAAAAAGGCTGGCTCCAGAGATTTCTCAGAGAAATGTTTAGACAGATGTGTAAATATGTTTTCTGATGTAGATGGTCCCCTTGCACCATGCATTTTTGCTCCCCAAATTGAAAGTGCAAACGCTCATAATGTCAAATTTAGGATGAGTGTCCATCTGGGCCACTAATCCTGTTGCAGAAATTTAAATGAATTCAGAAAAGGTCAAAGCCAGCACCTCTCCTGGATTCCCAGCCTGCAGTGCCATCTCCTCACAGAACCACTTCAAATATTAAGCTGCTGGAAAGGTTTAAGCCCCAAGTGATGCATTGGGATCAGCCTGGAAGCTGCTCCCCCTGCTTGCAGCACTGGCTGTCCAGAGTCAGTCAGCAGCTTGTCCTGGTAGTCACTGAAAGAAAAACCAATGGATTTAGTATTTTCAGGGTGTTTATCTCAATATATGGCCTGATATTTCCTTTAGCTCTCTCAGCATCTCACTTATTAATGGGAATGCTCTGCAGTACTGAAGAGCTGAGATGGCCAAAAACAAGCTTTGTCTGTCTGCAGCTCTCCAGCCAAGTGAGACAAAGGAGCACATAAAGCCCCACTGGCTGCCTTAACGAGTTCATTTCCAAATCAGTTTGCCTGGTGCCATTCCCACTTTCTGCAGAGAAATGTGCACAAGTTGTACTTGGAGGATTCATTTCTTTATGGTGCCAGCTGGGGTCACAAAGGAACCAGCACAGATGCAAAATGAAAAGAAATGGCAGAGGAATCTCTGAAGTGCTGAGCCAGAGCCCTGGATGTGTTATCTCCCCAAGGAGATCATGCCTTGGGGTGATGGACTGGAGCCATTCCTCTCTCCCTGCCCTCAGAGACAGCTTGAGCCACATACAAGGCAGGACACGGGAGATGCAGCCCTTGCTGCAGTCTGAGGAGGGGTTTCTCTCCTGTGTTCCCCCATCCTCTCCTCTCCCTCTCCCTTTCCCTCTCCCTCTCCCTCTCCTCTCCTCTCTTTCTGTGTCTTATTTTGCCTTTTCTCTCTTCTTCCCTTGGTGTTCTCTCCACTCTGTTATCTTTGGTTTTTTCACAACTCTTTTCCTATTCTCTTTTCCTATTCCTATAATAATATTTTATTGTATTTCCTATTCCTATTTCCTTTTCTCACCCAACTCCACACATATTATTCCTGTTTTCCTTCCTGCTCTCCTCTCCCAGCTCCAGGATCCCTGGCTCCAGGGCTCCCAGCACAGCTGCCCGGCGCTGTGGCTGTTCCCTGCTGTTCTCAGGGGGCACGGTGGTACCTCCCCCAGGGAAGGAGGTGGGTGAGGGTGGCTGAGGGCAGGAGCTGAAGGGCCCAGCACTGCACTGAGAACCTCACTTTGGGAGATGGGTCTGTCTGCATAGGATGGGAGCAGTGCCCAGCTTCCCACATCCCTCCTAGGACCGGGGAAAGGTGTCTCACCTCCTCATTTCCCTCTGCCAGACAGACATTTGGCCACTGCTCAGGACCCTACACATGTCCTGGAGGTAAATCATTGAAGTTGCTGAGAGACAAATACAGGTGGAGGCATTAAAACCCACAGGGCAGGGTGGTTGTGCCAGTGGAGCAGGGACTGGAACACAGGCAGGAGGAAAACAAGTGGGAGGAGAAGGGGGAGAGTATGAGAAGGGACTAAAAAAAGGCTTGGCTGCTTTTATGTGGCAGAATGAATGCTGAGGGGGAGCATGATTGCCATCTCTAAATACAGCAAGGTAAACACGAGGAGGGAGGGGAGCTATTGAAGTGGGATGACAGCCCTGGCACGAGAACAAATGAGGATGAACTGGCCACGAATGCATTGAAGCTGGAAATTAGATTTCTAACATCAGATCAGTGAGATTTTGGAATAGCTTCCTAGGAAGACTAATGGGACAAAGAAATCTGATTACTCTTAAAATGGAGCTTGATCAGCTATCTAAAGGATTATGTGCCTGGGTGTCTGCAGTAAAAGGCAGCAGGACTCAGGGACTCCGTGATCAAAGCCCTTCCAGTCCTGTGTCCCTGAAGCCTGTTCCAGCTGCCAGCAGGAGCTTGTTGGGCTGAGCTCTGTCTCTGTGCAAGGTCCAGGAGAATGGATCTGCATCTCTGGGGTTAAGGAGGAGGCAGAGGCTCCAGCATTCCAGTGCTGGACACCTTGCACAAGTAACTGCTCTCCACGTGTGAGTGGGTTTGCCAGGTCAGCTTGGGTGACACGCTGGAACCATTGAAGTCAAGAGATATTTTACTGTCACTTTAAGTGAAGCCAAAACTTGACCTTTGCTCCTACAAAAGTTTGGCCTTTTTTTCTAATGACACGTGGAGCAGCAAATAATGGTGATGCTGCGAGTTACCCAGGGGTGTCAGACATGAACTGGAGTGAAATTGTGCCACAAAATTAATGCAGCAGATTTTCCAAAGCAGATAAACAGAGATACACTCCCACCTCCACACCTGTGTCTTCACATCAGAGCTCTCACTGCTTGAGCTGAAGACCAGATTTCAGATGCTGAGGACCTATTTTTCTCAGAGGGCATTTGGCAGAACCACTCTCAGGGCTTCAATGCCAGCTCTATATTTGAGTTTTTGAGTTGTGCATTAAAGTGGGGATATATCTCACTTTTACTGAGCACTGCAAAGCTTGTGAAGATTCCTCTGTATAAAGCATGGGGCTGCTGCAATGGTCACAAGCAAATGGAGGATTCTCACCTTGAGCTTTTGCAAAGCTCATAATTCCACCCTCACCCCCTTCCAGGTGTTGCTGGTTTCTACAGACATCATAAAAATCAATTGCTATTAGATGTCCTGAATTTTTAAAGCCAGCAGTTTCACATCTATTAAAGGAAGTTCTAAATTCTACCAAAGACTTCACATAAAATTAGAAACTGCAAAACAGAGGTCACTGGAAATGGTCTGACTGGATGTCACCCAGCTCATAAAAAGGAATTCAGCCACAGAAAGCATCATTAAAGCACCTTTGACTAAAACTTGCCCAGGAAAAAAGGAAGGCTGCAAATACAGAATGGCTGCAGAGCATCCAGGATGGGCATGAAAACTGAGCAGCACTGGCTTGGACCATGGAAATCTGAAGCCAGTAGTCAGGGAAATTAATGGCAAAGCTCTTATTGATTGCTCTCCTGGAGGATAAAGGTATGATGGAGCTCCTGCCAGAGCTTCTTTGCCTAATCACCATGGACTTCAAAAACCTGGGCATTGACAAATGGCTGGGGGTGATCAGGTGGCCACTGTCATCTAGGCAGCTATTTCAGCCAGGCAGAGAATGACTTTGCTTTGCTCATGCTGGTGTCTCATTGATCTTAAAGGAAAAGTTGCCAGATGTGAGGTAGTTTTAACCAAATTGCTAAAATTACCAGCTAGGGATTTTAATGGAGAAATTTATTGTGAAGGATTTCTTCCTTCAGAAAAGCAATTTTGCTTCACACTAAAAATTGAAGTATTTTCTATCTTAAAAAAAAAAAAGTTAACAAATTATAGTGTGTTAAGAAATGATAGTAGCACAAAGAGACAGCTATAATCACATTTCTTCCTAATTGCTGCATTCAGAGAAACTTAGAAATGTCCCCAAATCATTTCATTAAAAAAAATCAATTCTAGCCTGTAGCTCTTCATGCCAAATTTTAGGTTTGTGAGCTGATTTATAAATCCTGCAAACCCAGAGCTTTTAATAGAAACCCCAAGACTTTAATAAATGTGCTCTAAGTGGTGCAGCTGGGTTGGAAATCAGCATTTGTGTTCTGGCTGCGAGTTCTGAAGAGAAGGACGAAGCCATGGGCTCTGAGAACTGATGTGCCAAGGTGTGTTGGGCCAGGATTCCTCCTTCAGTGGCCACATTCCAAGCTGATCTGCTCCTCATGCCCTTGCCATTGCTGTTTGCCTGACTGCCCCACTGCTCCATACCTGTGCCTGCTGCCAGGCTGTCCATTCCCAGTTTGGGGGAAGCACCAGGAGCTGTTCAAGGATAAAGAAATGGCTCCTGTGCCATCAGCTGGGAGATGCCAACGCACAGCCCGTGCCAGGAGCAGGAATGTGCAGCCACAGCCACTGCTCTGGGGCAGGGATTGCTCTGGAAATGCTGCAGACAAGCAGCTTTATCAGCTGTCCCCCTGCTCTGGGCACGTCCTTGAGGAGAGCAGCTGGAGCAGAGGTGCCTGATGAGCTGATGGCACGAGTTACCTGCGTGGGAACATGGACAAAAAACGAGAAGGAGCAGGAGGAGCCCCGGACACAGCAATCACTGGAGCTGCCTGGTGACAGATTCATGGGCTGCAGGGCCTCAGGGGACTGTGAGGATCATCTGGCTGCACTTCCCACTCAGCACAGGGCACAGACTGCCCTGAATTAATGCCTCGTGCAAGGTCAGCACTGGTGGCTCCTCAGCAGAGTCTCCTTCAGCCAGTCAGGTTTGGATGGGTTTGGAATGGGCTCCTGGGCTGGTGGCACAACGGGACCACGTTTGTGACCACACCTGACTACATGTCCTGAGAGCACAGGGCTATGTCCCCCTTCCCTCAGGTGGCACATCAGGAATTTCCAGGAGTGCTGGAGGACTCCAAGATTCCTGCAGAGCTTCCTCGGTGCCCAGGGACAGCAGGATCACTGCAGGCACAGGGACAACATGGGGCTGCACCCTCGGGGGGGTGGCTGTGGCACTGAGGGCTGTTGGACAGGACTGTGAAGGTGGGTGAAAACACCTTTGGACTGTGGCTGTAGGTGCTGGGTGTCAGCTGGGATTTAATATCCCAACAGACCTCAATACATCAGTGGGGTTTTTCTTTGTTCCAGATCTAAAAACCCACCGAGAAAGCTAAGCAAAAATTAATGAGAGGTCAGGAACAATGAAATGCTGTGGTAATTTTGAATACTTTCTTTCAGTTTTAACCTCCTTTTTGTTAAGCATTTTCTTGTAAATACAGTAAAATAGCAGAGCTGAACCCTCTGAAGAGAGGCAGGAGGCTTCCCAGTGTGGAAGCAGACACGGGAGAGCAATGATGGATTCATAATTAATTTTTTAGAAACAGGGGTGGGATTTGCTCTTGAATTGACTCCTCCTCAGGACCAGCTGTATTGCATCAGGTGTGGCTTTCAAGGGTAGAACATGAAGGTGGAAAACTTGGCAGCTTTAGCAACTACAGTGATTCCCAGACCCTCCTTGCAGGGTCACTTGCTGATCACCAGGGGCTTTGTAGTGGTAGAGCCCCTTTTTGCTGTGGTGCCCCAGGCCAGAGGAGCCTTGTACCCCCAAACAGCAGCCCCTCCCCTTCCACTGACCACAGAGAGCTCACCCCAGAGCCCCAAATCCCCTGTGCCTGCCTTGGTGTTGTGTTTGGCCATCGTTCTGCTCAGTGAGGCTTCGACAGACGGCAGAGAAACCCAGAGCACATTGACAGGGATGGTCAATACACCAGCAGCCTTTTCCAGGCATTCCCACCACGGCAACGTGGGATGTGTCCATTCCATGCCTCAGGCACACAGAGGGTCCCAGCTGCCATGCTGGGAGAGGTGTTTTTCCAGCAGCAGCATCTGGATGGCAGCCCTGGGCTCCTCTCCTCGCTGGCAGATCTGCACAGGGCTTTGTGCTTCACTGTTGCCAAAGTGATTTTCCTTGAATTGAGAGAACTCTGTCACCATCCCATCTCTTGTCACTGAACACACAGATGTCTCAGCAGATCCCCTCAGTTCCAAGCAGCCCCTCTTTGCATGCTGATGTGGGTGGGTTTGATCCATCCATCTCCATCAGTTATTTTGGAGCTGCCAGCATGTCACTCCATGTCCACAGGCATCCAAGTCGTGGTACTCAAGGAAATCCTGAATTTTCCAGCATGTTTTTGTTCATTGCTTGGTGAAGTGACTTTCCTTTGTGATTTTCCCTAATACTAGTGAACAGTTGTCAAACCCATATAGATAAAGGGCTGAAATGTGAGGCCAAGGTAACAGTCATCTCCCATTTTTATTCCTGACATCCTTGGGCTGGAGTCTCGGGTGGGAACTGTCTGTTTCTTCCAGCATTAACCCATTATCATACTTTTTGAACAGCTCAGTAACAAAATCCTTGACAGAGAAACTGCAGACTGGAGACCCTACAGCTATCTGAATGAACTAGGTCAGTAATTTTTAAACACTTTAATCACTTTAGTAGACTTTAGAGCAATTCCAGACCCAAGTCAGCCTTTCATAAAGGCATTAACAATAATGATGAATATTGTTGTTGTCTTTATTTCACCATCAGAATTTCCAGCAGTGAAAGGTGGAGAATTGAGAATTGTTTCCTTTACCACAAACCACAGACTAGGAGAGCAGAGTCAATATTCATTCCAGCCTCCCTCCCAAGGTTGCTGGGTTGAATCGCCATCATCTACTCCATAAATGTTTTTTTAAGGACTGACCGAGGACATTAAAAATTCAGATTTGGGATTTTTTTTTTTGGTTTTGTTTTTCCTTTTCTTTCATGCTTAATAAAGCTCAGCACTAAATGCTGGCATGTTGATGGAGGTGTGGAGCCTCTGTGGGAGCTGGGCCGTGCCATCCGCCCTTATCTCCCAGTAAATCACACCCTGCCCCCTTCTCAGGCAATTCTCAACCACCAGCCGGTGCAGCCAAGCCAAGAGTGAAGTTTAATTACCTTTCCTGAGTTTATTCTCCCTGGCTTAAGTTTTAACAGGGTTTTCAGCAGCTCTTAGCTCAAGTCCTGCCCAGATTTAGTGCTTTGGATGGTATTTGTTTTCCTATCTGAGCACTTGGAGTTTGGCTTCTCAGTGGCAGAGAAGCCATTTGCCCTTTCCTTTGCTGGGATTACTGATATCTTACTGAAAATATGCTGTAGGGGGGGAAAGTGCAGCATTAAGGGGTATTATGGGATTTTTAAGGTCAACTATCTCCCAGCTCACGTGGCACAGGAATGAGCCCAGGGCAGCACCAGGCATCACATCCTGTCACAGCTCCTGGCACACCCCAGGCCTCGCTCCAGAGATCAGGCCTTCCCTGCATCAGGAAAATCACAAACCTGTCAAGCTTCAGTGCAAAACCTTCTCATCATTAAAACCATTAATGTGCTTTGCTGTATAATAACCTGCAGAACTGCTGTTGTGCTTATCTGTACATGACATGGGGGCCGGGAGGGTCAGGGTTTCCAAATGCTCCTCAGATCAAGTTAATTTTCCTTTTACCGTTTTGCTACTTTTTTTTGCACACTTATTTGCTTTATTTGTGTTTATCTTGCTGTGTCCTGAGCTCCCTGTGTGCCACATCTGTCCTGCATTCATGCATTTTATTTTACTGGCAGAAGCAATGCCAAATGCCTCTGCAGTAAGAAGTGCTAAATACTTTAGCTTTTAGCTAAGTGGTCTCCTGCAAAACACTCAGTTTCTCCCATGACATTTTTGCATCCAGGATACCTTTTTCTTTCTTTTTTTCACAGTAATTGATGAAAATGAGATTTTTTTTTTTCTTCCTTTTCAGTACCAGAATTAATGTCTGCTCATGCTGACTTTCATAATGTTGAGTTCTTGCTCAGATCAAGGCCATTTTTATATGAAACTGTAAAATGTTTTCATTTCTCGGTATTACTTTGGTGCAATAAAAGCTGCAGATTCCACCTGTGCAAATTTCAGAAAAGAAGTGAAAATCTTCAATGTTGAGTTGTAAACACAAAATATTAGTGAAGCCCCGTGGAGTCACAGAGGGGATCTTGACCTTCAAACTGCATCAGGCATGGAAGTACCACAGTTAAAGACATGATGCACCTTCTTATCCCACTTCCAGCCTTAGGTTTATGACACAGATGCCCCAGCTCGTGCTCTGGAAGAGCAGCCAAGCATTGGGCAGGGCTGGATTCAGTTAAAAAGAGTTAAAATGGCCTTGGACAACTGCACAGCTCCTGTGCTGTGACCCTGAAATGTCCTGGAGAGCAGAGGTCTAAGTGAGCAAGAGGTGGGGGAGAACTTAAAGGGAGATGGAAGAGATAGTGAAGAGAAATTTGGAATGGATGGAAACCTTCAGCTCTTCTGGTCACCCCCCTGCCAGCGACCCCTCCGACTGTGGCAGTGATTCCAAAGGATGGGACCAACCAGATGAGGAGCAGCAGGCTCACAGGGGTGTCTGTAGGCTTGTTGGAATTTGCAGGTGTCCTAAATATTAATTATAGTTTAGGGAAAGGATATTGTAAGAATACCTATGTGAAAGTTAACTCGGACACTCACCTTCTAAAACCCGCAGTCATAAGGAGTTTTCTTAATTCCAGTGGATCTCACCAGGCTGCAGGTGTTCTACCTGTTTTGCAGGACTTTTGTTTGCCAGGTTCATGTTCTTTCTTTCCAAGTGGGGAAGGCAGGGACAAAGCCTGTATTTTCACTACTGGCACATTTGCTTGTGAGCTTCAAATATGGGGCTTTGTCAGAGAGCTGGTCTTGTCTGTTCTAGGGATGAGCACGAGTAATTCCCATGGACATGGGCTTGAGAGATCAGAGTTTGGGGACTCTGGTGCCAAGAAGAGGCAGTTTTGTCACCTCCCTGTGTGTCACTGCCTTCCCAAGGCAGCCCAGTCCTAGTTACAAGGAGGGGCTTGGCTTTGCAAAGTTCTCTGGTCTCCATCTCCTGCTGCAGAACAGGAATTTGACTGATCTCTGCTGCTCTAGTCCTGTCTGCACTGAGCAGTGGCAGATTCCAGCTTCCAGCTCCTCTCCCAGGGGAGTCAAAACTCCTGAACCACATCCTGAGTTCAGGGAGGGTTGTTGTGCTCGTTGGCTGCAGTGCTGGGCACAGTGAGCTGCAGCAAAAACAGTTTTATGTGTAATGTTTTTTTAACAGCAGTCCTTGATGCAGAGACTAAAGTGTGATTTGCAGCCCATCGTGAGGGACTCGAAGCTGAATTTATTCCAAAGGACCAAAGCCACTAAGTTTGATTCACAGCTGACTCTGCATTTTTCTCAAAGCCAAGAGGTGTGGAAAAGTATTTCCAGCTGAGACCCTGATTTCACCCAGCAGATAATTTAGCTTCAAAGTTAAACCTGGACTTTCATAAAATGCCACATTCCTGGCCTGTTTAGGACTTTTCCACATTAATGACTTCTGCAGGTTAAAGAATAATGTGTCCATCATTCATTTCACCTCCTGAGGAGCACAGCGAATACACAAAAACGGGTCATAAACCCGCAGTATCATAAGAGAGAAAAGAGAAAACTAAAGGCAGAATTACAGGGAATAGGTTGGGAAGGGTCATGTAGGGCTCCCAAGAGCCCTCCCTATGGGTCAGCCTGGGTCCCCTTTGCTTCCCTGCCACAGCCCCTCCCCGCTGTGACCTGTTGGGAGCTCTCCAGCTGCTCCCACCCCAGCCTGGTGTGAGTTCTCCTTGCTGGAGGCACCATGTGAAGCTGCCCAAACACTGCTTGGTGTTCCTGCCCTTGGAGATTTGCTCAGCCCTGGCAGGAGGCCGTGTGATCACCAGGGATGGCCTTGGGGAGCTCCACTGCTGGGAAAGGGAGCCCAGTCCTCTTGGATGGCAGCCAAGGGATGAATTAGCTCCATCCTCCTCGCCTGGGACTCTGCCCTGGCAGGAGAGAAAACCAGCACTGAGCTAATCCTGCTGTGTGACAGAGCTTCCCTTACCTCCCAGTCAGCCTTGCCCTCTGCATCAGGAATTGGCTCAGGATCAGAGGTGGAAAACAAAGCAGAAGGTGCTCCAATGGATTGGGGGGTCACTCTTGGCCAGAAGGGGAAGGGCCCCATCACAGGGAGCACGGTGGTCATGCACCACCAGCCCTGTTCCTGTGCTCAGGGCTGAGCTCTGAGAGCCAGAGCAGAGGGGTTGGCTTGTCTTTGATGTGCCACTCACACATTTATTGTCTAATTCAGTCATTTTCCTTATTTAGCAAAAAACCCAAAGGTGTGCTGATAAAGGCACTGGTACAGCACTGCCTGTGGCTGTGACAACTTTTCTGCAGAGACCAGAGGACACTCAAGGACAAATAGCTGTGAAGCCTCTGGGACACACTGTTTGCAGGGCTCTTTTCCCAGCCTAACTGAGTTACTTGACTGGGAATCCCATAAGACACAAAGACATTTCTCAGTAACCAAATTTGTATTGATTTTCCTAGTCAATAAGAAATACCAGACTCTATAGTTACAGAGATTTAAAGGCTTACATTAGATTTGCCTTTTGATTGATATCGAGGGTAATCTGCAATAGTGGAAATGAAAGAGGTTCCCATCCCCTTCTGTCTCTGCTTCCATGAGGAAGAGCAAGTTCCTATGGAGGCACAGCTCTCTGCACTGTCAGACCACAGTGGGCACTTAGGGACTGTTGTCACATCAGTTATTGAACCGTGCAAATTTATGAGCAAAGTCATAGTAGGTAATTCAAGCAGATTGTAAACACCTCAGATCTAAGGCTGTGAGTCAAATAACCCACTATCCACAAACAAAACAAAGCCTAAAATTAGTCACAGAGTGATGCAACACAACCTGCAGACTCAGGCTGGAAAGGACACGTTTCAGGCTTCTTTCACTAATCCAAGCCAGTGTTTCAGTAATGAATGTACCAGCAGATGATTTTTTCCTGATCTCCTGATGGATGGCTGTTCTTGGTAACCCTGCTGCAGGAAAGCCCTCCCTTCAGGGAAGCTCTTAAGCACATGCAGAATTCCAGGCGTGCACAGACTCCCCACTGAAGCTGAGTGTGTGCTCACGGCTCAGGATGTGCTTAAGAGCCTCCCTAAATGAGGGCCCTGATGTACAGTTTAGAGGGAAGAATATATGCTGCTCAGTAGTCAAAGCAATCCAATTTACATAAATATTTATTTGTTTTCCATTATATATCATTTTTATGCAGGTGCTTGTGGGATGGATAGACGTCAGAACACATACATAATGGAAAAAAGCTTCAAAGGTATGGTATCCAGTGCTGCAGAACCCTGCCAGGTGTGAGGAGGGTGTCCTAGAAGAGGTGAGATAGGAGCCCCTGGGAGAGAGGCCGGGAGAGACAGGGAGGGACAGAGCCATGACCCACACAAGCTGCCTGCTGGCAGCACTCCTGGGGCCATGAATTATGGATTCAGGCTTCCCAGGGCCACAGGCTCCTGCCTGGCACAGCAGCACAAGGCTAAAGGGAGGGCTCAGCTGCAGGGCAGGAGGGGCAGGTGGAGCTGGCTGGGCAGGGGACACTCTTGTAGGACCCACTGGCCACCCACAAGGATCTGGTGGCAGCTGCTGAGGACAGCCTGGGGTGCTTCCCTGCTCTTGGCCATCTTGAGCTTAAGCAAAGCCCCTGGAAAACAAGCTGCCCCTGCCTCGTGCCCTTTGCTGAGAGGGATTTGGAGCAGAGCTGGAGAACAGCCCTCCCTGAGGTCGTTGACCCCTCACATGGCAGGAGAAGTTATGGGCACTGACTCCAGGGCAGGTCTAAAAAGGGATCCGGGATGAGTCCTGAGCACAGGGCCCGCTGGTTTTACATTTCACTTGTCCTCCAGGTTTACATTCAAAACATTCCAGTTATGCCTGGACCACGGGAGCACTTGGCACAGTGGTTCCCACAAGCTCCTGGCAGGTCGGGCTGGGATTTAGCACGTGGAACTTGTGCTCCAGAAGGTGGAGCAAGGAATCTGTGTCCTGGGAATAGGCAGGATTCAGGCTGAGGTCCTTGCTGTGAATCCAAGGCTGTTGTGTCTGTACATGCCTGGGAATGTCCCTCCATCAGCCAAGGAGGGCACTACCACAGTAATGTCCTGGAGCTGCTCTTGGCTGAGTCGTGGGGGCAGAACCTCACACAGAGCTGGGTTCCAGACCCCCACTGCTCTGCCAGGCCTGAGGTGCTCCAGAGCCACACCTTTATCTGAACTAACAAGGAATATCCAAAGCTGTTCCTCACACAAAGCAATGATCAGCCTGTAGCCAGGCTTAGAGGTCAATAATCACTTTGTAGCTGCTCTTTTCAAAATACAGTGGTGCAATATTTGCTAAAAATTCACCTTACTGCACAGAAACACCAAAGGAAACCAACAATCCATGACCCAGTCTTTCTTAAGAAAGCTAGAATTAAAATATTAAAAGGGTTATGTACATATATGATATATATTATATACAATATACTCAATCCACTGGTTTCAGCTCCTTCAGTGATTCTCTTTTTCAGAAGAAAAATCTTATTACATTATAGCTAGTTGTTCTCTTTACATGGAACTATTAATTTAATTAGTTTAAAGTAAATTACTGTGTTTACAAGGTTTAAAAGCTGCTTGAAACACATGCAGCAGGAGCTCCCATCCATAGGCACAATCACACAGAGGGGAACCAGTGGGAACAGAGGAAAAGAATCCCAGTGAGAGGGAACTATGAAATGTATTTTCTGTTCCTACGTATTTTGCTTATTATTTAGGATCTGAACCATTTCTTTTACATGTTTATCTCCTTATAAATGGAAAAATCAGGCCCAGAAGCCATGTCAGGGCAGCTGGGGAGTTCTTTGTGCTGCTCAGCTGCCTCAGACGGGCACGGCTGGCGCTGGCAGGGGCAGAGTGCTGGGACACAGGGACACACCTGGCTTCCCAGGGATTTTGGGGAGCTTACCTGCAGGCAGTTGGCAGCTGAGGGTTCTCAGAAGCAGCTGCCTGTGGCTGGCTGAAGGTTCCCACAGTCCCATCTGAAGGTCAGTTCCTGGACCTAGGCAGCCCCGGGGCTCTGGGGCAGCGTGGGCACCCCCAGTCCCAGGGGAATTCCTTCCAAAAGGAGCTGGGAATGTGCCCCATGCTCAGCTTGCAGCTCTTCCTGCCCTGCCAGGTGCAGAGTTAGCCCTGACTCACCAAATTCCTCTGAAAGATGGAGAAACTCCCAGTCCCAACCAGTTGGATTGTGTCAGCAGAGAGGCTGGGTGGGCGGGGGCTTGGTTTTTATCTGCTTTCATCCACTTTAAAAACCTGGTCCTTTCCCACCTGTGTGGTCCAGCTGGGGAAAGCTTCTCCTGCAGCTGAAAGTGGTGTTTGGTGCTCCTGGACCGGCTCAGAGCCTGGGAGGGGGCGCAGGGACCTGGGGCTGAGGTCAAGCTCTGGTGGTCCTGCACCACCACCCCCTTCCCCAGTTCTCCTCCTCGGGGCTGGCTGGGGGCTGCCCCAGAGCAGGACACCAGGAGAAGGGTGTTCCCTGTGCAGCCTGACACAAGGAATGCTGCCAGTGGAGTGCAGGGGGTCAGGCACAGAGGTTTGGGTTTGCCAGGGTTGCTCCCAGTGTCTGACAGAGAGGAGCAGCAAGGGGCTGGGTGGCACAGTGGTGGCACCTGGTGACAGGGGCTGAACAGTCACAAGATTTCCAGAGCAGCTTTCTGAGCAGCTTCTTTCCCGTGCATGGTGCTCAGTGACACCATTTCCAAGCTTTTCCTTGCAGCTGAGTCCTTTTGTATTTTTTAGAAGTATTTTTTTTAAATGAGTGCTGATGCACTGGTGGAATAATGTGACCTCAGGCAGTAACATTTTAAGGAAAAAAGCCCTACTCTTTGCACAACAGCCAGGAAAATCCCTGGAGCTGGAAGCACTAATCTCAGGGTTCAGCCTGGTTCATCTGGGGTTTGTACAGGATGTGTCCCCACTCCTGAACAGCAACACTGAGCCCTTGCTGTGCTACTGTCCCTGCAGCAGCCAGGATTGGGCAGGACAGGGACAGCAGAGCCAGCAAGGCATGGCATCCCTAAGGGGGATTAAATAGCAGGAACAGCAGGTTCTACCTGTGTGCAGCACCTTTCCTCAGCACTTCCAGTGGGGCAGTAGGTTCCAAGGCTTGTCATTAGGATGCCAGGGGAAATTCAGGGCAAAAGAGAGGAACCCAGTCTGTGGGAGGGCCATTTCCAGTGCCTGCTAACAAAAATAAACCCTCCAAAGGTCTGGTGATTGGTATCCAGGCAACATAGAAGGCAGGGAATGCAAAATTAGAGCATATTCCCCATATTTCTCTGGAAGTCCAGCTGATCCAGTGCTTCCAGTGAGTCCCAGCACTGTGGTGACGGTGCCATGGGTCGAGCTGAGCTTCCACCTCCATGAGAGCTCCCTGTGGGTACAGGGGAGGATGAGGAGGCAGCATGGCCAGAGCTCACACAGGGCCTGCAGCACCACGGGCTGAGAATTTCTAAACACCCTTGTTCTGGTTAAATTAATTCATGAAATGAAATCTGACAATCGATGCCAGACTTCTTAATTATCCCCAAATTACCTTAATAACAAAGTAACTCAGCTGTTTCTCCATCCCTTAAATTCTCCATGATCCTGCCCACAGTGTTTCTGGTGGGCTGATGGCTCCCTGGTGTGCAGCACATTCCCAAACATGGGCTGGTGCTCCATAAAATATATTTATTGTATCCAGAGCGAAGGTCTGATCCCAGGGTAGACACAGAGCTCCCGTTTACGTCAGAGGGAATCTGCTCCTGGGCATGTTGTTTCCCAATCTCTTCTGGGGAAAGGCAGTTCCTGGGAGAGGCCAAACGAGTCTGGGCAGCCTCGGGGGTGTTTGATGGGAGTCTCCCTGCACGGTCCTGGGAAGGGCAGGGCTGGTGCTGAGGGACACCTGCCTGGCAGGCAGTGTCAGCCCTGGCAGCAGGGCAGGTGAATTTTAGCTTAGGAAAGTAAAAGCAGCTGAGCTGGACTTAATAAAATAGCTGATGTGCTGGGATTTTTACCTGTGCCAGCTCCAATGTGCCCAATTCCATGAACAAACCAGCACTGACCCAACACAGCTCTGCAGGAGCAGCATTTCTCACTCGGCCCTTTTTTGCTGTAGTAGCCTCCAGTCCTTTATAATTGACATTTTATTATTCTAAGCCCAGCTCTGGTTTGATTTGTTCCCTCCCAGCCGTGGTGCCGACAGGGAATGCTTTGTAGTGGACACTCAGGGCACAGGGAGGATCCTGCCTTTTGCCCCATGAAGGTTTGCCCCAAAAAGTGTTGCTCAGCAGCACAGCTTGAGACAGAGAAGGAAGTTTGTCATAATCTCCCTGTCTTGCCCCAAAATGTAGAGCTGGCTCGTTGAAGGCTGCCCAGGCTCTCCTAACAAGCACTACAGACCTGTAGTACCCACCAGGAGCTGTAACTTGCTGCCAGGGAGCAAGTTTCTTTGGCTGAGAATGGAATAAAAACCTCAGGAATGAGTGTCTCCTCATCCAGCCGTGTCCCTGAAGCAGTTACTGCTCCCACTCTGGCTCCTTGTCCACGTGACAGAGTTCACTCATGCACAACCCTCCCACTGACTGAAGGCTGAGGCCCAGTCCAAACAGGTCTTTTCAATCCAAAGATTTTGATTAATGGATTAATTCATTTGTTAGTCCTTGTCCATGGTCTCCTCGTCTCTCACACCAACAGATCCCAGACTCTGGCACCTGAATTTGAGTCACACACACAGAACAAAGGCCAACAATGCTGAGCTCACTCATGTGCAGGAGCCTTTGGTCTCCCAGGGTCGCTCCATCGTCCTGTAGAAGGATGGGATGGGATGGGGCATTTTCCCCTGACTTGTACTGGGAAGGGGTTGGTGAAGCTGGAGGGCCAAACCCTGTGTCCAACAGCCAGGGAATTTCAGTGTTCCTTGGTTCCCACGTGCTGTGATGTTCCAAACCAGGCGTGTTTCACTTGGAAGCAAAGGCACTGCTAGTCTCACCCAGGCTGGTCAGACAAGGAGGTTCTTAGTTTTATAAGTAAATAAACACTGCAGTGGTGCCAGGGCCTCTGCCAGCCTCCCAGCCCTGATGGTCCCAGCACGTCCTGCTGGTTTGTTAGTGGTGGAGCTGGTTTCACTGACCTTGAGAGCTCAGGGCTCTCCAGACTTGCCGGTGTCCCTGGAACTGGAACCCAGAAAGGCAACCCCTCGTGCAGGTGGCAGGGCACGACCTGGCACCTTGCTCAGGGCTGAACCGAGGCGAGGGGCACCAGGCCCAGGGGGTGATGGACACACAGACACAGACAGACACAACCCCAGAGCTGGTGGAGGGAGAATCACACCCAGTGGAGCAAACCTGGCGAGAGAGGGAGCAGGATGGGGCTCGGAGACGAGGTTTGTAAGGGAGGAGCGATGTCGTGTTGTCTGTCATTTCTTAACCTGAATTTCTCTTTTTGTCTCCCATACTAGACAGCGGGGGCAGCTGGGATTGCAGCTATTTTGCAAGTCCCACTATTTCACCGGGAGTATTTCATATATACCAGGATCTGCCTTTGTACTGTAACCCAGCACAAGAAAATGCCTCATCTTTCATTGCATCGCTCTAATTCTAAATTACTGGCACTGCCCAGCAGGATGCACACGGCAGCAATGGCACGTTCTTGACTGTCAATGTTAAGACTTATTTATTCTCTATTGTTTTTTATTTTTTGAAGCAAGACTGGCACTGTACCTTGCAGCAGGCTGGCACAGCCCAGCCAGGGTCACGGGCCGGTGGTCACAGCTCTTGTTCCCCCCACATAGCACCTCCGTCACCGTCTCCTTCTCTCCAGGGGAGAGGAGCAGGAGGTGTTTGCAGCAATGGGGGGGTAAAGCAGAGCAAAAGTGAGGCTCAGACAGAGTATTGACCCCCCCTGTGGAAACCCAAGTGTTCCAGCTGTAGGATGCTGGATAACCCCAAATTCTCAGGGGGCCACACATGCAAAGGCTGCACTGGTGCAGTTCTGAGCCTGTGGCAAAGCTGTGCATTCCAACACAGGGCCTTGGATGTGCCCAAAGCCCCGGGACACTCACCCTGCAGCTGGCCCAGCAGCCCCAGTCCCAGCAGAAGGTCCTGCCTGCAGAGCCGACTCGTGGTCCCGGGCGGGGTTAAACACGGCTCCTTAGGAATTAGGGGAGGGAGGGAAGGCATTGCCACCTCAGATTAAACGTTGCAGTAAATGACAGCTAGAACCTTTTACAGCAAAACCTTCGGTACTGAGCAGGTTTCCATTTCTTTCCTGCCAGTGAGTTGTGGATGCAATGGTCTGGAACACCCAGAGCACAAGCGCCGGGTGTCTGTGCTGGATGCGTCGAGGATCCTCCTTACCCCCTGTCCCCTTGTCACCCCCAGCCTTCCTGCAGAGGCTCAGCTGTAATTAACTGAGTTAAGCTAACGACCCTCACGCTCCCACCCCGCTCTTGTTTTGCAGATTATATGAAAGAGTCTGTGTGCAGCTCCAGCACTTGTTCCCTGAACAGCAGTGAAAACCCCTACGCCACCATCAAAGACCCCCCCATTTTAACCTGCAAACACTCCGAGAGCAGCTACGTGGAAATGAAATCGCCTGGTCACAGGGAGTCCCCGTACTCCGAAATGCCAACTTCATCCACAGCCAATAAAAACATCTACGAAGTTGGTAAGCAGTGGGTGGCACGAGGGCTGCTCCAGCAGCTGGGGGGTTCAGTGCAGAGGCTGGTTTTCTGCTTTCCTGACACAAGTAACCTGGACTTGGCACAGGGCAAGGAGACACTGGCAGTGGGGGGAAGGCCTGAGCACTGGTGTGTTGATTTGGGGAGCTAAGAGCTGTGGAGGTGGTATCCTGAGCTGAAAGGGACTCACAGGGATCATCAAGTCCAACTCCTGGCCCTGCACTGACACCCCAACAATCCCACCATGTCCCTGAGCATGCTGTCCAAACCCTCCTGGAGCTCTGGCAGCCCTGTGGCTGTGCCCACTGCCCTGGGGAGCCTGTTCAGTGCCCTGCCACCCTCTGGGGGAAGAACCTTTTCCTGATATCCAGCCTAACCCTGCCCTGGCACAGCTCCAGCCATTCCCTGGCTCCTGTTTGGTGCTTTTCTCCCTGCTCTGCCCCACGTGCTGCCTCCTGTGCCGCCCGTGAAGCTGGAGGGGGATGAGATGGTTTGGGAGGCTGACGTCCTGTGCTTGGACAAAACACACGAGGACAGTAACTGGTTTTGGGAGTGCTGCTGGTTGCCATAACCCAGTTTTCCTTGCTCCCCCAGAGCCCACTGTCAGCATAGTCCAAGACGGCCGCAGCCGGAGTGCCAGTTACCTCCAGAATCCATACGACCTTCCCAGGAACAGCCACATTCCTGGTCACTACGACCTCCTCCCCGTCCGGCACAGCCCGACACACGGGCCCTCTTGGGACAAGCAGTCTTAAAGGGATGGACTCCACTGTGCTGCCAACACAAACTGTGAGGAAGCAGAGGAGAAGCCGTTCCTTTTCCACGCTGTGGGATGCTGACGGATGTGGACTGGCTTACGCAAGGACCTGACGTGACACAACATCAGCTTGGGCCAACTGCTGCTGCATGATGTTATTTATAAAGACATTTTTATATGGGTAACTGGAACTAACAGAACCTCCTCCACGTGTGGCTGGAGTACATCACCCCAGGAAGGTGTCCACGCGCTCCAGGCAAAAACTCTCCGTGGCTTGTATTCTAACCCTGGCTTTGCTGTAAAATAAACCACAAACACATGCTAAGTAGAAGGACTTAAAGATGTACATTTTTACCAACTGCATCAAGAAACCTTTTACCTTTAGGAACAAGGTGACTGGGAATGCACTGGAATTGATTTTCATCTTTGTCATGGGAATGGACATTTTTCTGAACGAGAGCAGGGAAACTTGTCATTTCACTGTCAGGACCCCTCATTTACTGCCACCACCACGTGCAGCCTGTGCAGATCATGCTCGGTAATTAGCATTGGGATTTTCATCTTTACACTCAGTACCAGAGGGTTTGAGTTGAGGAATATTAACACAGACACTTTCTGTGCCGTTTTTTAAATCTTTCCAAATGTCCCCTGATCTTTGCTAATGACCATTTCCACAATGAGCCTCCCCCCCACACTTTACCACGCTTCTGATTGGCACAGATGGGCTTTAATTTTCCTTTTACAGCTTCTCTTTCGTTGGCTAAATCCAGCAGATCTGTCAGGCCTGTAACCTGCTGCACCTCCCTTTCCTGCCCTGGGACAGTGCAGGTCTGCACAGACCAGCCCTGGTTTCATTTCCTTTCCCAAAGCTGAGCCACAGCAGCTTCTCTCTCCCATCTTTTCAAACCATCTCCTCGTGGTTCACTTGTCAGCATGCCATTGATGACACCCTTTAATTTGCTGGGCATTACCATGTAGTGCAACGTTATCCTTTGGTGATTCTACCTGAAATGTCATTAAATGGAGCTGAAACTGGGTTTTCTTTTTCAGCAGCTGTTTGTGAACTAATTATCACGGGGCTGACCCATGGTGAAGTTTTGCATTGCGCCACCACAATTATTTTTTTTTTAATTTATAATCTTTATTGACCTAGAAAGTAGAGTACTTGCCGTTAGTTCCTTGTAGATTTTGAGCATGAAGTAGTATTGACTCTAAGTATGTAATTTTATTAGGCAAACGTGGAAGTAGCAAGTTGATGCCTCTTAAATATAAAGAAATATTCTGTTGCACATTCGCCAGCCTGGTGGAAGCAGAAGAGAACGGAACCAGATCCATCAGTTTGCTCAACACGATCCCTTGGGTGAGCTGCTGGGCTTGGGACTGGAAAGAGGAGCCCTCCAGCTGGGAGAAAGTGGCTGGATCCTGGCTCTGTGTCAGACCAGGATCACTTGGAGCACCGTGGAGGGGCCCATCCTGTCCCCACAGATGGGCTCAGCCATGGGCTCAGCCTGGGAGCCCTGTCCTTGGGAATCCTGCCCTGGGAGCCCTGTCCTTGGGAATCCTGCCCTGGGAGCCCTGTCCTTGGGAATCCTGCCCTGGGAGCCCTGTCCTTGGGAATTCTGGCCTGGGAGCCCTGTCCCTGGACATCCTGCCCCTGGGAGCCCTGTCCTTGAGAATCCTGTCCCTGGGAGCCCTGTCCCTGGACATCCTGCCCCTGGGAGCCCTGTCCTTGGGAATCCTGCCCTGGGAGCCCTGTCCCTCAGAGCCAGGACCCACCAGGTGGTCAGGCTGGCTCTGAACCCCCCAACCTGAGCCCAGAGACCCCCCAGGCTCCCGGAGCAGCCGATGTCCATGTCCCAGGATCATTCCCACACGATTCCCTGAATGCTGCATGTGTGCATGGGGGCCCTGACCGAGCAGCAGTAGCAGTTTTGTTTTCCAGGAAAGCCTTATTTGAGATGTAAGTTATTTTGTAGGGCCAGTAGGAACATATTTTATGTACATGAGCGGAAAGACTTACCTCAAAAATATCAAGAGAAAGGCAGTTGGATAAGGAATACTCTTGTGGAGCCCTACCTTGTCACCCAGCACAAGCAGCCCCAGCTGCCAGCCTGACCCATGTTTGTGTGTTGCTGTAGTTTGCAATGAGACTCCAGAGAGCAGAGATGTGCTCAGTTGTTGTGTTGTTTTTTGTTTTTTTTTCAAAGCAGGATTTTGAAACCAAATGCAATGATGCATAGAGCTTAAAAGGGAAAAAAAAGCAAGCAAAACCAACAAAAAAAGGTACCTTCTTGTATATTAGCATCAGCTTAGGAAACAGGCACCAAAATGGCAATACTTTTTTAAGGCAAGACAGATTTGTAATATATTTGTTCACTGTGCAAAGGTATCCTACCTTGTACAAAATAAATTGAATTTCTCTCACCGTGTAGTTCTCAAACGTACTCATTTGCAGAGCAAAGCTTTCAGGCCCTGCACAGGTCCGAGTTCTCCAGGTGATGGGGCTGCTCACGAAGGGGCTGCCCCCCCCTCAGCCAAAAACCCCCACGGGCACCAGGCACAGGACAGAAAAGGCAGGATGGCTCAGAAAGGCCAGTGCTGTAACTCCAGATTAACCCGGAGTAAGGCCCAGCATCAAACCAAAAGGTAAGTGGTTCTTTACACCTTTCTCCCAGTTCCTCAGCAGTTTGTCCTCAGTGGGTCTGAGTGAGAGCCCTGGGGATGCCCAATCCCAGCTGGACAAGCCCCTCACACCCCCCAGAGCAGTGTGGGGTCAGTGCCAGCACCACTCACTGATGTTCACATCCTGCACCTCAGTGGGGTGGGCACAGTGCCCTGGGCCACTCGCAGCTTCCCGGCCCTTCAGGGGGGTGAAGGTCCTGGAGGATCCAGCCCAGCAGAGTCACCCAGCAGGAATGGCACACAGGACACATGGAAGCTGCCTCAGCCAATGAATCAGGAGCACAGACCTGCAGCAGAAACACCTTCAGAGGGAACGACTCCCGGGCAACGCAGCACTGCGACTGCTGGAGCTTTCCAGCATTTGTGCCTCACCCTTCTGAAAATCTTGTTAACTAAAGCCCAGTGTGTAATCTTCTTATTTGACAAGACACACTCAATAAGCTATTTAAGGCTGGAAATTCATCAGGTTGAACCGATGGAATAAGTAATTCCAGCTTAATAAAAATGTCTTTTAATCACAACAATTACATGTCCTTTCTGCTTAAGAGTCAGAACCTCAATTCCCATCAAACACAGGAGCCACTGATGCTCATGAACAGCTTCATAAGTGATAAAGTTGGGACTTTCAAATATGTAAATGACAGCAAAAACTTTTGGCAAGAAAGCCCATTGTGCAGCATTAAATGGAGTTCTCAGAATCTCAGCAAGCTCCTTTCAGGGCCCAAAGCAGTGTCTGTTGCCATCAGTTGTCTCCCATTAGCAAGGAAGAGACACTTCAGTACACAAGTAATGCCAATTATGGAGCAGAATGATTAATCAGCAGCCAAACAGGAACAATCCCCCCTTGGGTCAGCATTCAGATGGAATAATGTCTTGCATTGTCTCTCCCAAAGCACTTTGGGAAGCACCTTCCTGCCCCTGGAGTGTCACCCAGCCCAGGCCAGGCAGGAGCTGCTGCCACAGCCCAGGGAAGCACAGCACAGACCCCGGGAACAGGAGGCAAAGGCTTTCCCAGGTAGGAGGTTCCTTCTCTGTACATACACCACTGGATTTTGCTTTAGAAGTCTCAGCCTCCCACAGGGGTTTCTGCTCCCACTGGCTGTGCTGCAATTCCAGCTGCTGCAGGAGGAAGAGTTTTGCCTAAAACCACACGAAATCCGGACCTGATGTGACAGCTGAGTCCAGTCACCTGCTTATAGGAATGAGAAAAGGAAGTGGAGTGAAACTTATCCTGCATTTCCAGATGACAAATTTAGAGCTTGGCTGCTGCAGGGAATCGGTTAATTCCAAAATATGCTCCAGTCTGGGCAGAGAAGGTGCTGCAAGAACAGCTCCCACAGTAATCCAGAACCAGGCTCACTCCTCATCCTCAGTCCCAAACTGCCTCAGTCTCCAGAGCCACTGGCACTGCCCCACGTGCTCCGTGGGTGCTCCTGGCACCACTTCACCAGGACACCCCAGCAGGATCCCAAGCTTTCATCCTTTCCTGCAGAAGGAGCTGTTTGTATCCCACAGGATTTTCTTTCTCATGGCAACGTGGGAAAAAAAACCCCAGGTTTGTAAAAGCTATTCAGAGGTTTGACTGGAGTGAACCCACAGAATTCCTGAGTGTAAAAGCTCCCTGGAGCTGCCAAACTGCCCTGGCTCTGAACTGCAGCAGCCCCAGAAAGTTGCAGACCTGCTCTGAGGGAAGACAACTGTGTTACACGACCCTTCCAGGTCCTTTTCCAGGGGCACTTCCACTTTAGTGTCTTCTCACTGCCTGCTCCAAGAAGCTCATCAGCTTCCAGTAAGGAAAAACCTTCATGTCAAATCCCAGTCCTCCCAAAAACTGCACCCAACACCACAGTGAGTCGTCCCCTGTAATTCTTTATTAGAATCATGGATGAATATATTTTAAATCAATCTAAAAAAATAATGAATCAAAGTACAGTACATGCATAAAATACAAAGTAATTTACAAACAGATCAAAGGAGCATCTCCAGAACTAATACCAGGAGGAGAAATGGAGTAAAAAACAAGAAGTGACCGACTACAGCAATGCCTTCCGTGTGCCTCACACGTCATGAGCACCGCGAGACAGGAGGGTTGGGATGGAACACAGCTGGAAGTGCCAACCACATTTTGGATGTTCCACACGGGTCGTATCAGAGTTTGAGAAACATCCCCCACAATCCATTACTTCCCTGTAATTGTATAAATAACTGCAGGCATTTACACAACAAACAGTTCCTCTAAATAGTGTAGGAATGCAGTGCCCGTAGCCCCAGTGCCAGGGTTGGCATGTTTAGGAATAGCAGAGAGGGATGTGCAGAGACAGAAGGCACAGTTCATGTATCCCTGAACAAGCAAATCCGACTGAGGGTTTGTAGGGAGCGACAGACAGCAGGAAAACTACTCCAGATGGTTTTGTTCAAGAGCAGACAGCAAACCACTGGAATAATTTAAAAATACTGGATCAAACAGAACTGAAAACTAAGGCTAGGTAGTTGAAGTTGTTGATTCATCAACTCAAGCATTCGAATATATTAATATAAGTGGCATGCATTAACAGGTGTGATATGTAATATGTGACAACACCCTTCAAGTCTGTGTCCCATGAAAAAAAAAAAAGGCATCCTCAAAATCCTGATACCACCAGCACTGTGGGGGCCAAGCCTCAGGCAGCACAAAACCAGGCTGCAAGCTCCAGGGTTGGAGTGACCCTTCCCCAGGGATGCAGCTCCCTCACAAAGGGCCCCTCAGTGCAGCCCCAGCAGCTCTGCCTCACATCAACCTCCTCTGCAGCAGGTGCCAAACCACAGCACCTCAGTCACAGGTTGCCAGAACCTGCTGCTTGTTCTCGAGAAATTCTCTTTTCTCCCCCATAATACTCTACAAAACTTCACTTGACAACCTGAAGAAGCAGCCAAAAACATTTAACTTACATTAAAATTGCACTTCAGAGCAACGGGCGCTTGGCCAAGCTTTAGGTGCAGATGCAACACCTTCAGACAAGGAAAGATTATCCTGCCCAGAGATACTTTCCTCGTTTACCTGACAGTAATTGCTTTGTGAGGAGCAGAACAACAAATTCAAGTGCTCACTAAAGGTTCCTGTGCTCTGACTAATGGGCATCGTGTTGGGAAGAGATCAGTTGAGTTCCAAACAATTTACTGACCCCAAACCGACAAGTCGGCGTTGGGAAAATACTGCAGCCACATCCAAGAAAGAGACTGATAAACACTGAAATCAAAGTGTTTTAAGACATGGAGAAATTCAGAAGGAATAAGCAGTGACTAAACACAAGAATGGAACCACGAGAATTACAAATATATTTAAATCTTGGACCTGGGGAATATACACAGCCTCTTA